CCATTTTTGAGGGAGGTTTAACGATAATCAACGCTTAAAGTCACATTTTTACATGTTAGAATTCGACATTGGACATTTGAATGTGAAATTTTAACCAATAGAAAAGAAATCCGCAAAAAAAAAAATCGCTATTTCGCGTCTATGGAGACTAGTCTTAACTAGTTATGCCAAAGGTTAACAATATAGGTTTGTTCCAACCTGAAATAATATTTTTCTGCGATTGACAAGAAATGTCAACATTTTTGACCGGTTGACAGGTCGCAAAACTCAATATTCTGGTATTTCAATTATGTTTCAATAGTTGCTAAGGAATCAATGAATAACAATACGGGAAACACTTTTCCGGCCTAGGCCGGGAAAGTGATTCTCGGCGTATTGCTGAATAATTGGAACTAAAAGACAAACATTTAACAGGTATTTAACCGATCGCAGAAAAAATAGTATGTGTATAGGTCTGGGCACACATGACCGCACCGAGTCCGCACCGAGCCCGCACCGAGACACGGCCGTGTCTCGGTGAATAGTTGTACCGTGTTTTCTTATGTCGTAGTCTTCACATCTACGCACCGTGCCCGCGCCGAGCCCGAGTGACACCACCGCACCGCGTCCGTACCGTGCGAGATTAGTTTTGTTTAATTTTTGACGGGCACGGTGCGTTGCAGAAATGGAGAAACTGATTCTTTAATCTCTCCTCCAGCTTACTCAGTAGCTGATGGAAGGTAAATTGTGTCATTCTAAAATATTCGTAAAATTTGGTATCATCGTCCATTAAGTGGGGAAGCAACGTGCGGAATTCGCCTTCAACGTGTCTTGCTTTCCAAGCGTTGTGTACCCAAATTTTCCGTCGTTTTGCCCTATTTTCTTCATTTTCCTCCTCATCGTCCAAAGCAATAGCTATTGCTGCCAATTCTCTGTTACTGAAGCTGGCGAACATTTTACTTTCTCTCACGCACACGTACAGGCAGGAAGCCAACTGACGAAGTGACAAACTACCGACCGCACTCGTAGTACGACCGTCATGCGGCCGTGTGTTGGAAATGTGTGGCTTTTACCTTATTGAGCGACACACTGCCGTGTTACTGCACGGACTCGGTGCGGGCTCGGTGCGGATACGGTGCGGTCATGTGTGTCCAGACCTTATTTCGGTGGAAAAGCACATTCTCGGCCTTTGGTGATTGCCGGCCTCGGCTACGCCTCGCCCGTCAACTTACACCGTCGGCTGAGAATGTGTCACTTTTCCACCTAAATACACAATATACTATACTGTAATAGTATCGTCCGTAACCGCGCTAATGCGACTGCGCAATCAAAATATACCTATTAGGGCCGCCCGGGCCGGTTTATTTACCTTCTGATAAACTGTCAGGTATGCAATCTGACCCATATAAAACGAAATTTGTTATCCCTTTGGTTGGCCAGTTATCTGCCGACCAATAGAATTCTAGAACGGTGCACTTATCTTGCAGATAGTTACCAAGGAGCTTATCTGAAGATGAACAAACCGGGCCTAAGTATGTTTAATCTGGAAACCAAGGAACAGCGTTCTCATTGAAACGAAGATTCTGTCTTTATCGTCCGGCATAACACTGACAATGACAGAGTAATCGTTCTTTTGAGAATGCTGTTCCTGGGTTCCGAGAATAAAGTTCCTGCTGAGAGGCTGAGCTAAGCCGCTGAATGTACCCATTGCTTTCAATTTTTTTATGTAGAAAAGGCTTGTGTTGCCAACATAGTTACTAAATTTTTGACTTGGGGAATTATCTTTAAAAAAAAAACAGACTTTAGATATTGTTGTTATTGCATTTTTATTTTAAACCTAACGAAAAAAAACAAAAAAAAAAACTTAAAATAAATAATTGAAATCTAAAAATTTTAGCACAATTTTTGTTTAGCAACAAAGACCTAGTAATATTCTGGTATTGGCAGGATTGAGAAAAATCTAGTAATATTCTGGTATTCCAAGTTTTATAATCTGGTAAAATGGCCATTCATATAGTTGGCAACACTGCATATAGCCACTACAATCAACTTAATATAATATTTATGTAATTATGATGTATGTAATTATGTGTTACAAATAAAAATTATTAGGCAATCTCATGATATGCCAATCGAAATTCAATATGGAAGTTGTCAGACACCGTAGTAGAGTGTTTTCACACCTATCAGACCACATACCCACCTCTACCACGTAAAACCCTCCGCCAGCACAGCCATCATACCACTATCCACCTCCACTGCAAACCCCCTTCCGTGAAGCTCCTACCCTAAAATTCCCACACTATGAGCCCCGCAGTAGAGGTGGGTAGTGGTATGATGGCTGTGCTGGAGGGGGTTTTACGTGGTAGAGGTGGGTACCTATGTGGTCTGATAGTTGTGAAAGTATTCTACTCACCGTCTTGTTTACATGGTTATTGACAGAAATCAATGAAAAAATATTATTTTGTCACATTCTGGACATTTAGGTTTGACATTGGCATTGTCATAGTGTCATGTTTGTCATCTACAACACTTAAGGGCCAGTATTATAAAACAGTAAACCGAAGGTTGAGTTTCAACCTTCGGTTGACTCCATGCAAATTGATAGGATTCAACCGAAGGTTGAAACTCATCCGAAGGACAGAATACTAATACCGCTTGTATAATTCTTATACAAAGTTGTGTACATTTAAATTACATGATACTTGATATTACCACATGGAACGGAATGAGCATTTAACACGTTTGTACTTCCGTACTTCCTACAAGAGCTCCCATGGGTGCTCCGCACCCATGATAAGTTGCTCATGGGTGCACCTGCCCCGATGCCCCCATGTAGTCGGCGCCAGTGACTTTGTAACCGGGTTAGAAAACGGTATGTCATTTCTCTAACCGTTTTGTAACCCGGTTAGTTAAACCGGAGCCACGTGAAAAGAACTATAGAGTTACTTAAGGGATGTTACGTCAAAATTGGCGTAGAATTGACGTTCATGCCGTTTGCGCTCAATGAACTATAACACTGACTATAACCAAAAACTGGAATGCTAACACATAAGGACGAACTTGAAGCCTAGTGCGGCTGCTGCGGAGGGGATACCTGTTTTTGTCGCACTCATTATGTTAAATGGCGGAAATTGCTTCCAACACGTATTCCAATTGATGAAACCTGTGAAGGTAAATATGACAAAACTTTCCAAAATGTCATATATCAGCGAGCAACAGAAAAAAACAACATTCCCCTCTGTGGCATCTGTCTTTCATGGCTACATTTTTTTGGCGGATATGGCAATGTGTGCGCATTCCAGTTTTTGACTATAGTTCATATTGACATTCCCCTTTGTGGCATCTGTCTTTCATGGCTTCATTTTTTTGGCAGATATGGCAATGTGTGCGCATTCCAGTTTTTAGCTATTAGGCAATTCAAACCACGTGTCACTCAAGATGGCGTGGCGGCCACACATGGGCCCAAAAAACACAAAAAAAATATTTAGTTTGTGCCCGATTTAATAGTTTAGGTACCTAGTCAACAAATATCGTATTAAATAATCAAAATCAAAGTTACAAGCAAAACTCTAAGCAAAATAATGGCGTATTCGACTATCCAGCGCTGGCTCCGATCAAGCTCGAAAAATGATGGTGCAATTACACTAAAATCAAGAGCGGGTATTTGGCGATTCGATCGCGCGCTGGGCCAGAGCGAATTATCAAAAATAGTGAACTAGCTCCGTGAAAATCCGAGTTGAAGCGTTCGTATGTGCCCCATTATTGCACTTGGATTGCGTTTACTTTTTTCTCAATTTCACTTAACCTCAAAGCTCAAATTGATAAATTTTGAAATTTATTTACGATTTCCGATTCAATTTCCGGCAATGTCGGCATCCAAATAGTTTTGAATCTTTGGTCTCTTTTTAGGAAAACTAAAAGCCATAATTGATTCATCATCATCATCATCACTTTCTGAGCTACTGCTACTACTACTTGATGATAATACATCTGCAGCTAATAATAACAACAATTTCTTTTTTTTATTATTCATATTTCAGAAACTTTTTTGTGAACAAACATTCAAAAACGCAAAATAAATAATTAGTAAAACAAAAGAAGGATTGGAAATTTGAGGTTATTTTTTCAAAAAATCCAGTGCAATCTACTTGAACCGCCAAAAATTACAGTTCCAAAAAGTTCGAACGCTGGATGAGCCACGCTAACAATCCGAACATAAAGTATTGCCCTGCCCGCGCTTAGCTCGGGTAGTCGAACACGAGAAATGTTTGCTCGCTTATGAGCTGAATCAACCCGAACATAAATTATTGCACTGCACTCGCAAAATGCGAGCCGAGTGCGCACTAGTGCCCATAGTCGAATACGCCATAACTTAAAATACACATAAAAACATATTCAAAACAAGCTTGCTTGGCCGCCACGCCATATTGAATTTTCCGTTTTGACAGATGGATTAAATTGCCTAATAGTTCATTGTTTACGCTAATCACGCCTTTGGGGATCAATTAGTGGGGATTCGCTCTTAGAACTGTTCAAAACTGTTCGAGAACACCGACCATCGCAAAGATAAAAAAAAATAATGGCAAATGTATCAACATTTTGTATTCGTTTATCTACCACCAAACCAAAGTTTCTTTTCCAAACCAAGCTTTTCTAGAAACCAGTAGAGGTTCAAAAATTGTAAAATTAGCCGCTTTCCAGCTGTGTGCTTCAAGCACAGTGCAGCACAGTGTTCTGTGTTTGAAACGCAAAAGTTAGCAGCTCTCGAAGCGCAGTACGGCTGGAACACGAACACGCGCTTGAAGCATTTGCGCGCGCAAAAGCTCGATTGCGTGCTCAAAATAAAAGCGTCAGCTGGGAAGCGGCTATTATCACGTTATCTCTTGACTCCGCGGTAGGTTTTCGAACGGGCCTTCTGTGAAAAAATTCCCATTCTCCCGAATGTCATTTTAGTTTCAAAAATCTAACCTCATTCGCCAAACAAAACAGTTTTATTTGTTAACATTTATCAACAAAAAATGTCCCTGAAAAAGTCTACAAAAAATGCCGAAGTTCAAGAAATTTCATCAAAATCGACCACCTTGAAGGCACTTTTGTTGGTTACGATAGCCGCCCTTCTCAGGTACGCAATTATGACCTCCAAATATCAATCTATAATCGCTAATCATGTAGAAGTGTCTACACCTTTAAGTTCCTGGAAAAGAGTTTCGGAGGGCTCCTTTTTATTTTCAAAAAACATTAACCCCTACGATGGAGATTTGTTGCACGAAACACCGTTGGCAATTAAATTCTACAAAGTTATGTTACATTACGTGTTTAGAAATGTGCATTTGATGTTTATTGTGTTTGATCTTGGGACTGGGATGCTTTTATACTTGGCGGTGAAGAAATACGCCTTCGAGTTCCAGCAGCATCACAAGGATAGAAAAAAATTCCCTGAGGATGTGCAAAAATATTTGCCATCCCAGGATTTTGCTCAAAAAGTTAGCATTTATGTTCTAATGGGATTCCTGTTTAATCCATACAGTTTGCTGGGTTGCATTGGACATTCAACAATGGGAATTCACAATTTTTTCTTATCACTGTTCATTTTTGGAATGATTTATGGTAGTGTTGTTGTAAGTAGCTTTGCATTAGCTGTATGTGCTACAGTCTCATTTTATCCTGTGATTTTAATACTGCCGCTAAGTATTTACTTTGTGAAGGAGTATAAAAGTAATACTAAAGCAGTACTAGCAATAGTAAATTTTGTAACATTTTTAGTACTAATAACAATTTACAATAGTAATTTTGGCAAAGATTTTAGCTTTGTTAAAAACGTTTATGGCTGTATTTTAAGTGTACCTGATTTGCAACCAAATATAGGATTGTTTTGGTATTTCTTTACTGAAATGTTTGACCATTTCAGAGAGTTATTTATTTATTCTTTCCAAATTAACACAACAATCCTATATTTGGTACCATTATCCATAAGATTTAGAAATACACCATTTGTATTAACAGTCGCTTTACTATTTTTAATTTCCATATTCAAATCTTATCCGTGTTTAAGCGATTTAGGTTTTGTTTTGAGCCTGTTGCCGAACTTCGTGCATTTATTCCCAGATTGTCAGCAAGGTTTTGTAGTGGGAGTCATTCTAGTAATATCGTCTAGTTTGGCACCAGTTTTATGGCATTTATGGATTTACAGTGCCTCGGCGAACGCTAATTTCTATTTTGGTGTTACGTTGGCTTATGCCATTGCGCAAATCTTTTTGGTGACTGATATTTTGTTTGCCCAAACCAAATGGGAGTATTCGCTTAAGCACGGAAAAGATACCAAAATTGACGGGGAGGATGGAGTGTTAAGTTTGGAGTGAAGGACTAGTCATGATTAGTTTTGGTTTATATTTTTTCACAATGTCGATTTTGTTTTTTTTTAATATACATTAAGTTGTTTTGTAGAAATGTTGATTTTTGTTTGAAATGCACCTCAAATAACTTCAGAAAAATCCAGGAGTGGATTTGTTAAGGTGCTTGAAGTGAAGCCACCAATTAAATCGCGCCAAAACGATTTTTAAATCAACCATTACTGGAACTATGATTTATTATTTTAAACAATAATTTCTCCTCAAATTTCTCCATCGAAGCATCGGTAACAATTTTCAATTTTTTTCTTAGAATTTTAAATGAAGCACCGTTCTACCTATCATCTTTTAGCAGAGTGTTCTAGAATACTGTCTCAAATTGGGTTTGAAATTGCTAGGGGATCAACGGTGGAAAATATCAAAAAACTCAATGAAAGTAAGATTTCTATGGTCTTTTTTTTTCAAGATTTTGGATGAGGTATCACTACATCGACCACTACTATCTTTCACTATCTTTCAACATTATAGAGTGTTCTAGAATGATCTCTTAAATTGGTTTTTCAATCGGTAAAAGACAAAAATCATAAAAAAAAAAACTCAACAATTGAAAGGTTTTTAGTTTTTTCCATAAGATTTTTAGTCTGCTAACACTATTTTACAACATGGACTCAACACAATGTTCTAGAAAACTATCTCAGTTGATTTCCAAAATCGGTAGAGGATTTAGGGTTGAAAATATCAAAAAATTTAACAAAACCGAGATTTTCATCTTTTCACTAGATATTTTTAATATTTTTTAACAGGATGTTCTGGTATAATGCTTCAAGATGGAGAAAATCAAGGGTTGTTTGAAAATATCAACAACTCGACAAAAGTGAAGTTTTTTCTCTCTTTTCAAATGGGATACTACTACCATCTATTACCAGGCAGGGTGTCACCAAACCAGGGTTGGAATACACAAACTCTCATTTCAGAAACCCACTGGGTTTTTAACACAAAATCTCAACATCAATATTAATAAAAACCTAATGGGCTTTGGACTTTCTGTTTCAAAAACCCATGCATACAAAACTCATTTCTACCATAGTGCGAAATATCAATCCAAAATCCAAGATTATTCACATTTTTCTTATCTATAGCTCTTACTTGAAGTACAAGCAAATACTCTTTTTAATCATGCTGGCCAATATTATTACCGATTCAAATCTCGAAGATGTGGAAGATGTTAATCTGAGTGGTAATCTTATATGTTGTCTTTCCTCACAGGGAACACTGATTTTTAAAGACTTTACTGGTTCGAAATCCAGACCCTTGAAAGACAATGACAGTCAAAAGATCTTCTTTATGTTGGCCTTCTCAAAATTCATTTCCAAAACTAAGTAGCGACCGCTTATTACGGGGGTGAGAGGAACAATACAATGACAAAAAACTGAAAAAATGAGATTAAATTTAACTGGAATTTTTAAACATGGATTAAATTCAAAGTCGGTGTCAAATGATAGTTTATAAAAATCTAAGACAGGAATGTGAAATATCTTTTCGTCTAAAATAAACCATTTAGGTTTTACAGTCTGTCAGAAATACAAAAAGTCAATTTTTAATCGTCAATATTCCCAAAACAGTTGAACTTAGGTATAGGGTATATTACATGAAATCTGCTTAGAATTTTACGTAGAATCCAAATATGCAATCACATATCGGGTGTTCCATTTAAGAAACAAGGTTTTCTCGCATACCCCATAAACGGAGCACCCTGTATATTCAAAAATATTTTTAACTAATGCATATTAGAGTATCAAACAACTTTGTAATTTAATTTTTTTTTGCATCACCCTGTAAGGAGATATCGTTCGATATCGCACTAAGTGAACACCCTGTATAATAACTTTTCATGAAGGTTTCACAGTATTGCTCAAAATCCAGAAACATTCTCCATAATGAAATTTGAGCCTCAGAGTGAGGGGTTAATTTCTTTTGTATCTGGTTCAGAAATTTACGTTTCCTATCAAAAGTGTCCAAATTGCATCACCCTGTATATTCTTCAACAACGTATGTAAAGTAAAAATAAATGTTCAAAAGCAAATGAGCAAAATCATTGTTCATAATTCATAACCTGCCTTTGGAGAAAATCCTGGATCCGCCATTGTTTGGAAAGGTATGTTTGGCCACAGGTTTGGCCAAAAAAAAGATGTTCAAGTTGTTGAAAAAAAATTTGTATTTTATGGCCCCATTGATTTGTGTGGCAATGATCCCTTCACACTAAAAAGAATGAATAAAAACCACAAAAAAAATTGTATAAATACACTCATCAAAATAGTCTAGGGAACTACCTACAGGGTGAGTCACCATATTTTGACACCCACCTGCAGCCGTAATTACAGGTGATAGGTGTAAGTACAAAAGTTGTAGGATTTTATCTGAACCGCAAAGACAGTAGTTTTTTGAATATATTTTACCTTGATTTACCTGTCACCTGTTCACAAAACATTCTGATACGTGAATAGTGGCCATTTGCACCGCTATCACTTAAGGGATATTAAAGGATATTTAATTTAAGTGGAGCTTTTGAATGTGACTTTTGTTTCTACGAGAGTCACATTCAAAGCTCCACCTGGATTAAATATCCCTTAAGTTATAGCGGTGCAAATGGCCGTAGGTCTTTGAATAACTAAACTCCAGGTATTTCCAAAACTATTGAAAGAAACATTAATATACAGTGCCCGCGGAAAAGTCTGCACCATATGGGAAATTTTTTTATGCTCATCCTTACTTCAAATCGGTTTTCGGCATTAGCTTCTGCGCATGACCAAAAAAAACACCTAAAATTTTTGACTCGAGACTTGCCTCCCACCTGTCAAATGCCATTTGAAAATTTCAAACAAGGAAAAGTGGCATTTTTATAAAAAATATGAAAACATTTTATAAGAAAATATTGTTCCAAATCACGTTTATAGTCTAATTTGATATTTTTGCTTTGAAAAAAAAAGATTTTTATTTTTTTATTTTTTTCGAATATCTACGGAAAAATAATATTTTTAGGATTTCTTTCGCGATCATTCCTCTAAAATAATTAGTTTGTATCTAACTAATGGTTTTTTAAATCTTAATAATCTAATTAAGAGTTAACATCAAAAAGAAATATTTCTATTAAAATTTTGATACGCCTCTGGACTATTTCAAAAATTTAAGATTTCTCAAATTGAAATTTCAAATTGTTTGCTTATAAACTACTACTAAAAGTCATTTGGAACAATATTTTCTTATAAAATTTTTTCATATTTTTTATAAAAATGCCACTTTTCCTTGTTTGAAATTTTCAAATGGCATTTGACAGGTGGGAGGCAAATCTTGAGTCAAAAATTTTAGGTATTTTTTTGGTTTTTAGTCATGCAGAACCTAATGCCGAAAACCGATTTGAAGTAAGGATGAGCATAAAAAAAATTCCCATATGGTGCAGACTTTTCCGCGGGCACTGTATTATATAATCTGAATCAGACAAACGAGAACTTCAAGAATTTGAAAGAAAATAAAGTGCATTCCATTTGAAAAAAGTGAACATTGACATATTTCTTCATTTTGTGTTGCTCATTTTTACAATCTAATTAAAAATTCTGGTGGTTCAGATAAAATGCTACAACTTTTGTATTTACCTTTCACCCATCACCTGTAATTGCGGCTGCAGGTGGGTGTCAAAATAATAGTGACACCCTGTACAGTCGTGAGCACAAAAAGTGGGACACCCGAGTGACAGGTCTTGTCATTTTTCGCTATTTTGGGTAAATCCTCAATGGGTAAATCAATCCATTCTCTACAATGGATTTTTTGTCAAATATGACAATCCTTGGTAGGTATAGCTGATGAGCCCGTTTTACAATAGGAAAAAACGTGTGTCCCACTTTTTGTGCTCACGACCGTATATTACATAAATTATTATGTTTCATATAAACGAGCCCTCTTTGTTGACAGTTATTTATTTTATATTTTTCTCATAATTTTTCTTAATGTTATTTCACCAATTTTTAATTTTTTTCCTCTTTGTAAAATTTTTGTTCAGATAGCTAGTTTAAATTAGAAAGAAAATGACAAAGCACAGTTTTTTTCAAAGTTTATCATAATATTGTCTTATAATAAAACAGAATAATGACATGAGATATACTCGAAGATATGTATTATGTAAATTGACAAGGAAACGGTGAGACACTGTAGATCATTCATCAGTTCAAATCTCCATAAATTCCACTCAAACTGTTCATCACCTAAAATAAGTCAATGGGCTTTAATTAGAGCTTCATAATTATAGTCTGGCAAGTGGTAAGTTGAGGGAAGAAAAATGGAGCGTAACCTGGGAATATCCACTGACACCGCTTGATGACAGTTGGGTTCAGGGGCACTGAAAACACCAAGGAAATGAACCAATAAAATTAGATTTTTTTTTAAGTTTCAGGGCCGGTATTCTTGTTCCCGAAAACGCTCACCGCTTTCGAGTCGGTCGGCACTTTATATGTGAATTTACATTAAAAGTGCCGAGCAACTAAAAAGCGGTGAGCTTTTCTGAGAACGAGAATACCGGCCCAGGCTCTAACCAATAGAATCATGCCTCTGAATAATCACGCCTCTCCACATCCATCAGTTCGCCGTTTGGGTAGCCAGATAATAATGGAGCTGTGAGGCAAAAACTGTCTCAGTGTCATTCTTGGAAAATTTTCAATGTTCCATAATTTCAATTTTGAAGCTTCTCAAGTGCAAAACTGTTGGAACCATTTTTGAAAATTGTTTTATGTTCCATACTTCCATAAATTCAATTTTAAAGCGTCTCAGTCTCAGGTGCAAAACTGTTGGAACCAAATTAAAATCTTTATTAATAGGTTTGTGAAGAATTTAATTGGCTTTAGATACAGCTCAATTACATTGAAATCTGATGAAAAGAAAATTAACAAAGCTGTGACGCAAAAATTGTCTCAATGTCATTTTTGGAACATTTTCAATGTTCCATAAATTTAATTTTGAAGCTTCTCAGGGGCAAAACTGTTGAACCCAAATTGAGATCTTGATTAATAGGTTTGTGAGGAATTCAAATGGCTTCAACTAGCTCAATTGGATTGAAATCGGACGAACATTAACAGAGCTGTGAGGTAAAAACTGTCTCAGTGTCAATTTTGGAAAATTTTCAATGTCCAGTAATTTCAATTCTAAAACTTCTCAGCTGCAAAATATTTGAAACTAAATCAGAATCTCAATTACAGTAGAACCCCGGTTATCCAAGGTAACGTGGGGGGCACCCTCCTCGGATAATCCGAATAGACACAAATTCACATGCTAAAAGAGTGAAACAGTCCAAAAACATAAATAGGGGAACCACTCACATAGCCCAAAAGGATTTCTCAACGGCCTCGACGATTTTAAATGGAAATATGTATGTTCATATGTTTAACATGTATATTTTGGATTTAATTGAATTCGGATGTGAGCTGTGAGGCAAAAACTGTCTCAGCATTTTTGGAAAATTTTTAATGTTCCATAAATTCAATTTTTAAGCTTCTCATTTGCAAAACTGTTGAAACTAAATTTAAAATTTAATTAACAGGTTTGAAAAGAATCTAATCGGCATTAATTAGAACTTAATTACATTGAAAGGCGATAATTAATGGAGTTGTGAGGCAAAAACTGTCTGTGTCATTTTTGGAAAATTTCCAATGTTTCATAAATTCAATTTTAGAGCTTCTCAGGTGAAAAAGTGTTGGAACCAAATTAAAATGCCAATTGATAGGTTTGCAGAGAATTTAATTAGGTTTAATTAGAACTCAACTACATTGAAATGTGATGAAAATTAACGGAACTGTGAAGCTAAAACTGTATCAGTGTCATTTTTGGAATATTTTCAATAATCGATAATTTCAATTTTGAAGTTTCACAGGTGCAAAACTGTTGAAACTAAATTAAAATCTCAATTAGGAGGTTTGAGAAGAATTTAAATGGCTTTAATTCGAGGCTAATTGAGTTGATATCGGATGAAAATTAAAGAAACTGTGAGCCAAAAACTGTCTCAGTGTATTTTTTGAAAATTCTCAATGTTTGAAATTCAATTTTGAAGCTTCTCAGGTGCAAAACAAATATACAATTTTGTCTAGCTGAGTTAACAAAAAAACCCTACGAAAACAGAAAAACTATAACAATAACCCGATTTTTTTTCTTCAAAATCCCGGGTTTTTGCCAACCTTGCACCAAACTATTCTAGAACACTCTCTTAAATTGGCTATAACATTAATAGGCCATTAAGGTCAACAATATCAAAAACCAACCAAAAATATCCCTTCTCTCAAAAATTTTGATTTTGTAAAATTGCCATCTTTCAGCAATCATAAGAGCTACGATTTTTGCATGTTTCTTTTAGACTTGGCAGGGTATAATATGTAGGAAATATCTAATTTAGGGAAAAGTAACCACTAGGATACTTCTATGGAATCTGCGCCTATTAATTAAACATACATTATTAACAAAATAATGAAATTTATTTAAAGATTTTTACAATCTAAAAAACGAAATACCTGCTTATTGATGTTACATTTTGTATAAGCTTTGGTTAAAAACAATTTATTGCAAATTTCGAAAGTGAAAAAAATAATCCAGTGAATTTTTACAAAATTGATAGGTAACCAAAAAGTGATCCCAAAAATAATAATTGGTTGGTACTAAATTTTGATATTATTCTATCAGTTTTTTGGCTTTAAAGTACCTCCTCAGGTACAGAACTTGCCAGACGGCCAAACCTAATAATATAAAGATTGAGAATATTGAAAAGTACAATACTCTGTTGTTTGTTGATTCTGAAATAAACAAAAATGTTATTTAATCAGATGAAAATTTATACCTAATATTTACCGTTGGTATCTCTCATTTCTTCTTCTCTTTTTCTCATGAAGGCAAAATCTTGTACAATTGAATTTGAGAGATCTTCGAGTCGTTTCAGTTCTCTTTCCATGGGTTTCAAATTTGCAGCTTCACCAAGCTAAAATTAGATTCTTAAAATATAGTTTTAGATTTTAGAATTTCAACTTACTGTTTCATAATTTTTGGTTTCTACTCCATGTTTTGTAGTGACAGTAACTAATTGAGTTATGCCTTTTTGATCTGAAATTAACATAAGCTTAGTTAACATTATTTGGATCCAAATTGAGTTCAATTATAAGACAATAAATAAAGGGACTGGATGCTCGTCCGATAATCGGAATGATAGTGTTTTTGTTTCTATTCCGATGATCGGGCTGCTAGTTTCTTTTGTTATTATTCCGCAAAATAATTTAAGAATTTACCTATCACCGAGCCTACCACTTAATATATTATTTTCGGACTATTAGGATTTACTCATATTATTCCGAAAATTATTTATGGTTTGAAATAGGTTAGGTTCCCTTAGATTATGTTGATTTGTGCAAGTATTAGAAAGTAGAATTAGAATTATTACAACACTATAAATTCAAAAAACCTGTTAGAACAAGAGAAAAGTCTCAATTTTTATAATGAAGTAGAGTCTTGAAGACAGTTGAAAAGGAGTTTCTAATATTTCTATACCGGGTGATTCTCAGATGACGCTCGTCCCTGTAACTTTTTTATTTTTTAGGATTTTCATCTCATATTTTGGTAGAAGGTTTAAGTCATTGGTGTGCATTGTTTCACATATTAAGTACCTTTCTGATACTTCCGGTTTCTCCGGAAACGACCCTAACTTTGAAATTTTAAATGGAATACCCAGTATATTTTTAGATATTTAAATTCGCCTCTTTATTCTAAATATGAAAATGTATATCGATATAATTTTTTGACATTTCTGAAAGCCAAATAACGAATTGACACTTTTCATCTAGCGTGCCATGAGTGGCATTAATTGGTAGGTTTTGAATTCAAATAACTGTTAAAATTATTAATTGTGTTTATTATTGCAAAATGCAAATGCTTAAAAGTTGATTTTTTCTTATGGAAAGGGTAGTGGCTCACCGAATCAACTAAACAATTTTTTTCCGACCAATAGATTGATACTACACAATAATGTCTCCTTTCATGTTAAACTTCTGCTAGATTCTCAAATTTAATTCTTTGGAATAAAATCTTTGAAATCACCCTCTTAATACAAGTTTATTAACTTAAATGACGTTAAGCACCTTCTTTGATTAGATATTTGACACAAGTTGTCAGACTTATTTCGTATTTTAGCTTTTTTTTTCTGTGAAAGAGAAAAAATTATGAATTTCACACGCAGAGAAAAGATTGACATGATTTTAATATTCGGCGAGTGCAGGCAGATTGCGACACATGCAGCTCGCGCGTACGAAATATCCAAATCGTCGCCACCCAAGTCGACATTATTTTCCGAGATTGATAGAAATCATGAGGACTGAACCAGATAATGTTAACGAACCATTCGTTTTAAGTGAAGAAAAGGAAGTTGATGTGTTGGCTATGGTTGCTGTAAATAGGGCAGCTTTAACGAGGGAAATCGCTGCAGAATGCGACAAAAGTCAGGCTTTGGTATGGAGAATTCTCAATAAACATAAATTTAAGTCATTCAAATACCCGCTACATCAGCACTTGTATCCAACTGATTATGATCGACGCCTTGAATATTGCAACTGGTATTTATAAAAGTATGAGAGTCGTTTCACAAATTTAGGCATGTTCAATCGACAGAACAAGAGGTACTGGTCGCAAGAAAATCTTCATCTTATGGAACAGGGGCATTTCGAGCAACGGTTTGGCTTCAATTGCTGGCTAGGAATTATTGGTGATCGAATAATTGGACCAATTATTTTTGATGGTCATCTTATTGGAGAGAGATATTTGAATTTTCTCCAGCGAGAAGTTGAAGAATTTCTTGACGAAGTTCCTCTGGCTGAACGCCGAGTCTTAATCTTCCAGCAGGATGGAGCACCCCCCCATAATGCTGGAATTGTAGCAGATCATTTAAATTGGGCTTTTGGAGACAACTGGATGGGAACCAATGGTCCTGTTAGATGGCCCCCAAGGTAAAAATAATATGATTAATTATCGCAAAAAATAGATTTTATCCAAAAACATTTCAGGATCCCCTGATCTCACACCCCTTGATTTTTTTGTTTGGGGTACTATCAAAAATGAAGTTTACAACACCTCTTCAGCCAATCGAGAGGAACTAGAAATGAAGGTAAGAAGATCAATTGGAGGAATTACGAGAGGACAGCTGACAGCAGTAGTGCGGTCTACAATTGAAAGGGTCCAACGTTGCCAAGAGCGGAACGGAGCTCATTTTGAGCATCTTAAATCTTAACCCATAGAATTTCATTGTACAGGGTGGGCCAATTTAGACACTTTTTTATGGAAACACCCTTTCTTTTTAGAGATAGAGAAAAATGAACTCCCCACTCTGAGGCTCAAATTTCATGAAATTTTGATTGGTGTAAACCGCATTTTGATATCTTCAACCGTTTAGCCGCTAGAGGGCGATTCTCGATTTTGAGCAATCTTGTAAAACCTTTTTTGTTTATAAAAATAATTGATTTCCGTAAAAACTTTCTGGAAGCACTTTTTTAAGCAGAATTCAGTGACGTTCTCAGTTTTTTTCTATTTGGCGCCGATTTTGAGATATTGACCAAGGACTGATTTTTTTCAATAGGACACCCTTTATATTAATAGCTCATTGAAAAGGTATGATTTTTCTGATTTTATTGATATAAAGTTCGATAAGTTTATCTCTAACCGTTTTCGAGAAAAAAAATTATTTCGGTTTTTCTCATAAGAAGTAATGTGTTAGAAAAGGATTTTACATCTGTAAGGAAAATGAAAAAGGTCTCTTTCTAACATATTGTTTCTTATGACAAAAACCAAAATAATTTTTTTCTCAAAAACTATTCGAGATAAACCTATCGAACTTTATATCAGTAAAATCAGAAAAATCATAGCTTTTGAATGAGCTAATATTATAAAGGGTGTCCTATTGATATTGGGGTTCATTTTTTTCTATCTCTAAAAATAAAGGGTGTTTCCATAAGAAAGTGTCCAAATTGGCCCACCCTTTACAATTATCTTTTAGTTTTTAATTTATTCATATTGTATTTATTTATTTCGTTTTCAGGTTCTTCGTTAACTTTAATAGTTTTCAATAAATATTTTGTTTCTGTCTTCATGAAATGATGAAAAGATTGAAGTATCCGATATTAGGTATTCTTTCGAACTGAACAAACTGATCGAAATCACTTGAGGTTTGTTTCAAAGAATTGTCATCCGGTTTTACAAGAATTTCATTGGCTTCAACTGTTTTTCGACGCCTGATAGACAAACCTTATGTGATTACAATCAGTTTGTTCAGATCGAAAGAATACCTGGATTGTAGAAATATGTATTGTGTAGGTAGGTACAGTGTTCAGTTCTTATTATTTTTTTCCAAGGTTATCCAAAAAGCGGCGAACCAAAGTTACCAAGTTTATTAATATAGGACAACATAGTTTCTGCAAACAAGGACCTGGTTAGATTCTTGACAGATGGGGGAGCATCGACTGCTGCCCATCAGGGAATTTTGCAGGAGGTTGGTCGTGAAAGGGTTGCATGGGCAAGTGGAAATACATTAGCTGCCAAAATTTCCCATTCTACTGATGCAAAAACCGATAGGGCCACCCAGTGGACTGAAAGTTTCCAACAAACTTGTTAAAGCTATTAAAAATAATAACATACAATCCGCCCATCAACAAAGGCCTGTGCTACCCACAACCAACCCGCGATTGAATCCCATGACCAACCCGCGACTAAATTCTACTTCTGCTGCCACATCTGAGCGTGTGATTATTGGAACGGGCACTGTGAATGGACCCTTCTCGGCTGGAGAGAGACGTCAATGGTTATATCTTGGCCGATGTGATCCTGCAACCACTGAAGGAAACATAATTGAATATATGAATCAACAGCTTGGCATTTCGGATGTGAAATGCTTTATTCTGGATCAAAACGAAGATGTGATATCATTCAAGATTGGGGTGAAGGAATCACTCTTGAAGGGCCTGCTGGAGCCAAATCTTTGGCCCGTTGGAACGGCTGTCAAGGAATTTCGAGCCCGGCGCCCGCTTAATAATAATAATAATAGTATTAAGTCAACAAATTTTCAACAGCGGGATTTGGGAGGCAGTCAGACCTAGAATGTGCATCAATCTTTTATCAAAACGTCAGAGGCCTAAAAACAAAGCTTAAGGATTTGTTCTGCGCTGCACTTATTGAGTCATACTCTGTCATCGCATTCACTGAGACTTGGTTGGATTCATCTGTCAATGACTCCGAGTTTCTGGATTCTTCTTACACTGTGTACCGAACTGATCGTAGTGCCATTAATAGTACAAAATGCCGGGGTGGTGGTGTCCTACTCACAGTAAAAAACTTCTTGAAATCTAGCCTCCTGTCACTTGGTGATTCTACAATCGAAGAAGTTTGGGTATCTATAACGATTGGAAATTCTGTATATTGTGTGGGCTGTGTATATGTGCCACCATCGATGGATATTTCATATTATGAACTTCACTTGAAATCGGTATCTTCTGCTTGTAGTAGCTTTAAAAATGTTTTAGTTGTAGGCGATTACAATTTGCCACAAGTAACTTGGTCTCCAGGAGAGGATTATTTCGGACTTGTGCCGGGTAATGTCAGATCTGCAAAAGAAATCTTGCTGTGCAATACTTTCGCGTTCTTGGGCTTATCTCAATTTAATCGCATATCGAATGAAAATAACTCTGTATTAGATCTTTGTTTTGCTAACTTTGACCTAAATTCAATCGATGAATGTGTTGGTTTGGTAATGGTAATGTCAATTCAATTTAAGAAAACAAATTATTTAAAAACTGCTAATAACCTTTTTTAGGACTTTAAGTCCGCTGATTTTGAGCTAATGAACAATTATTTTTTGTCCTATGATTGGTTGTCGATTTTAAACGATTATACATCTCACTGTATATTATTCCCATATGACACGAGAGGCTTAATAAGTGATAAGCCTTTTGGGATTATCGCGCTTGATGGCATTTATAGCAAATTCTATTATAGAATTTTTTCAAATTTTAAAGTATAGTTCGTTGTATAACCTTTTGAATACCACTCGATGTTTCAGGATTACCTAATACTTTTACCTGATACTCAACGCATTACCAGCACCACCAACGCGTTACGTGACAGGTAAAAGTATTATCCGGTAATCCTGAAACCTCTTGTGGTATTACATTCGATAATTTAGAGATTACCATAAGTAACTTTTACTCCGTTGCATTCAATTGTTTTGATTTGTTTGTGCCTGTTAAGCAATGTCGCTCCAACGACAGATTTCCTATCTGGTTTTCAAGTGAATTGAAATCCCTAATTTTTCAAAAAAAAGTAGCTCACAAAAGGTTCAAACAATCAAATTCAGTTATGGATTATAACTTATTTTCTCTGCTTCGCAGACAATGCTTATCCCTGTCCAAGGAACGCTACAGTCTTTACATAACAAACACTGAAGATTCAATAAAGGAGAATGCCGGGTACTTTTGGAACTTTGTTCGTTCTCAGTCAAATCAAGGCTCCATCCCTAGGGAAATGTTTTCTGGCTCAAATAGAGCTGATAATGGTTATAACATAGCCAATCTCTTTGCTGATTTCTTCTCATCAGTTTATAATCCTGAAACCATTTCTGATGCAAGTGTTTCTTCCGTTTCTTCAACACACACCTTTCAATCAATTTCTGACATTCAGATCACTGCATATGACATTGAAAAATCGTTCTCTGAACACGACATAAATAAAAGAGAGGGACCTGATGGAATCCCAAACAGAGTGTTAAAACTTTGCTCCCATTCTCTGTATCTTCCCCTCTATTACATATTTTCCAAGTCTCTTATCTCTGGAGTGTCCCCAGAAGTCTGGAAATTGTCATATGTTTGTCCCATCCACAAATCAGGAAGCAGGAACAATGTGTCTAATTACAGACCAATTAGTATCCTCTCAGCAATACCCAAGCTATTTGAGCACTGTATAGAAAAAGTTTTGTCGGTTGCCTTCCATCAAGTCATAGTAAATCAGCAACATGGATTCACCTCCGGCCGCTCCGTTGATACCAACTTGTTTCTATTCACTAACTTTATCAATAGATCATTCGAGAACGGTTGTGAGATACATACTATATATACTGACTTTAGTAAGGCCTTTGATAAGGTCAATCATGCTCTTCTACTCTCAAAGTTGTCCGGTTATGGCATTGCGGGTACTTTGATTTCTTGGTTGGAGTCTTATTTGTCAGGTAGGATTCAGCAGGTGAGAATTGATGGTTATCTCTCGGATAAGTTCGATGTCACATCTGGGGTCCTCAGGGATCTCATTTAGGACCTTTCTTGTTCAGTTTATTCATCAATGACCTGGGCCATCTACTTTCCTTCAATTTTTTGATGTTTGCGGATGATCTAAAGATATTTCGGGAAGTATCATTTAATTCGTGATATTCTTCTTCTGCAAAATGATCTGGACATTGTATACGATTGGTGTAACCTAAACGACATGTCACTTAATATCGACAAATGCTGCTTTATGCGCTTCACCCGCTTGATGAATACTATACCTGTGGAATATTCCATTAATCACGTTGCTCTTGCTGAGGTATTTGTTGTTAAGGACTTTGGCGTTTACTGGGACACTAAACTTACGTTCATCGAGCACTTTGAGTTTATAATAGGTAGGGTTAATAGAATATTAGGTTTTATCAAAAGAACCAGTAAAGACTTTAGGAGTGTGTTTGCTGTGAGGGTGTTGTATACGTCGCTGGTTCGATCCATCCTTGAATTTTCAAACATAATTTGGTCGCCATATTATCAGGTTCATATAAATAGACTTGAAAATGTTCAACTTAAATTTATAAAATATGCCAAATATAAACTTTTTTGCAATGGTATTGAACTTGATATTGATCAGACTATATTATACCTAGACTTAGCATCTCTTGTTCGCAGAAGAGAATACTATGACATATGCTTTGCATTTAATGTTCTAAACTACTATATCAAGAGTCCAGAATGTTTAGAAACTTTTCGAGTTCGTATACCTGGATATCCAACACGTAGGCAGACCTTGATGCATATACCAATTTGTAATTCTTGGTACTTATTGTATAGTCCTGTTAACAGAGTATCAGCGAATGTGAATAAGTTTTGTGAGTAATTAGATTTCTTTAATGTTTCCCATAAAAAATTTAAGAGTTGTGCAAAAAGAGCTGTTTTAGGTTAGTTAGTTTAAGTTCACTTGTAAACCTGTAAATGTTGATACGTTAATAAATAAATAAATAAATAAATATCATATTACATTATAAAATTTCACTGTGTATTAGTGTATTTTTGCCTTATTTTTTGTGCCAAATTGGATATGTCAAATTTCTAATAAAACGTGCTCATCATTCAACATTATTTCAGGTGATCAACTTATTTTACGAGGGTATTTTCAAAGTCGAGCAATCTAGCAGAAGTTTAAAATAGAAGGAGATATTATTGTGTAGTATCAATCTATTAGTCGGAAAAAAGTTATTTAGTTTTTTTTTTAGGGTCGTTTCCGAAGAAACCGGAAGTATCAGAAAGGTACTTAATATGTAAAACAATACACACCAATGACTTATACCTTCTACCAAAATATGAAATGAAATTCCCAAAAAATAAAAAAGTTACAGGGACGAGCGTCATCTGAGAATCACCCGGTATAAAAGCGATGCTGAAAAATTGCAAACAATTGCAAAAAGTTGTCCCAAAAAATGCCAACAGGCTAAGGTAGAATTGGTATACTACCTAGTAGAATATACTTGCCATCAAGGTGGTAAACTAGGTGGTAAAAGATTTAAACTTGGATTTAACTCGCACAAAGGCATGCGAAAATCAAGGAAATTACTTCGTGAATCATAATATCAGTCAAAGATAATTGTATTTTCGGAAGCTGTGAAAAAAAATTAGGGGCAAGCTGATTTTTTCAGGATTGTTTAAGAGGGCTGTCCTTGGTGTAAAAACACCGGAGTCAGAAACTTTCCTCTTCCCCGCCCTTGCCACCCTTAACTATAGGGGTTGTTTCTCAACATTGTGCTACAATGGAATTTTTGGTCTCTAATTAGGCAATCCACAGATTAGGCAATCTAACAACCTGTCAAAAAAGGCGCCTGGTTGGCAAACAATAAACAAAAAACATTGTTTTCAAAGTTTCAAAGAAAAATGATAAAATTCTACCTGAATATGACAGATTCAATGACGGATTAGTGATTAGTGGTTCAATGCAAACCATCCTTTGTTTGCCAACCAGGTGCCATGAAAAATCACGTGGTTTGGATTGCCTAATTATAGATAATCGGATTCTCTACTACTTTTTTCCATCCTAACAAACCCTGATAAAAACACCCTTTTTGGTTTCATATGGAAACTGCGTATCTGCTGGTAAACAGATACTTACTTTTTTTTTAAATGCCATAAGGGCTAAATTATGGACTGACTGGTAAATGTCTGGTTTTTACCTAGCAGGTACTTTCTATGCTCGAGATAATAGAAAGTACCTGCTAGGTAACAACCAGACACTTACCATTTGGTCCATAATTTGGCCCTAAAGAAATTATGTTAAATTACTCGACTGGCTGCTTTTTCGTTATAAAATCGCCATGCTCAAATCCGCATAGTTGTTTTCCGAGAATAGTGCCTGACTAGGGCTTAAAGTAATGTTCTCGTATAAACTGGGCTGCAATCTTATCATGATAGTAGTTTTTACTTACTACTTTTTTCTAAAAATATAAAAATGTTCGGAATAATATGCGTTAAATGCTATTAGTCCGAAAATGATAAGTGAACACTTTGAGGAACAATAACAAAATAAACTAGTAACCCGATAATCTGAATATAAACAAAATAGTTATTTATGATATAAGTGCTAAAAGTGACATTTTATTTTGTAAAAAGGGAAGTTTGGAACACGACGCCGAAGGCGGAGTGTTCCATCCCTTTGAACAAAATAAAATTACTTTTAGCACGAATATCATACACTATTTTTTCTACAAACGCACTAAGGGCCAAATTCTGGACCAACTGGTAAGTGTCTGGTTGTTACCTAGCAGGTACTTTCTATTCTCTAGTGCATAAAAAGTACCTGCTAGGTAACAACCAGACGTTTACCAGTGAGTCCATAATTTGGCCCTAAAAGTGATTACTTTTAGCACTAGTGCTAAAAGTAATCACTTTTAACACCAGTGACATAAAATGGCATTTTAGACACTGGCATCATGCCTTAAAAATGACACTTTTAAGTGACATTTGTAGAAAAACACTATTATTCTGATTATCGGTCGAGCATCCAGTCCCATAAATAAATTGAACTTACGTTGTGGCACATGCGAAATGAAACATATTTCATACATATCATAAGTTTCTGTGTTAAATGAGAACTTTCCCTTGGAAACATCTTGCCTTTGAGCTAAAATATGGCCCTTGGAATCTGTTACCTGTAACCAGACAAATATTAAATTATGCACTTCTAAATAAACAAAAGGAATACTTACAATATAATCTATTTTTTGTCCGGGCTGCTCTGAGACTTCAAACTCCCCAACAACTGGCACGTTGCCTTGCAGTTCCTCTTTGAGACACTTTTGTGTATTTGGTTGTATATTGAACGATATACAATTTACTGTAATTAATAACGATATAAAAACCGAGCTCACAATCCAAGCATACATTTTATTCATTATAAACTAATTTATTATTAGCTAGAATCAGCCACGATCACTAAAACCGGATCACCACCACAAGATCAAAAATTTTTATACAAAAAATGAAAACAAGAAACGTCACCTTCGTCCTTCGTCTGACATCTCTAATAACTGTCAGTGTCAATTGTCAATGTGACGCTGACGTGTCGCTAGGAAACTCTCAAGGCTGGAGAAGCCATTATCGATACTCATAGCAATCGATACGATATTCTTTCAAAACCTCTACTTCTTTTTCATAACGATATTAAGTCACGTGATTTTTTTGTTTATAATCTGACTAGAATTTTGCATTTAATTGTTCATTGTTCTTATTTTGCAGGATTTCTATCGATACATATCGACACAATATCGATATCCTATTCGTATCGATATGCATGATCATCATTACCGACATCACTGTTATTTTGTTTGGTAATGCTGTGGTAATGTAGCGAAGTTAAAAAGCGTGTCGTCACCAAAATTGAGTGAAAATTACCTTCAAAAATATGGATTTAGAAGGTGCAGAAATAGAACCAGATTGGAAAAAGGTTGAACGGGACATGATCAAGGTAGATTCCAATAATGTTTATTTATGAGTTGTCAAACAAAACAAAAATAAGGGCGTGGATATCTGACTGTCAGCGACTAGGGAAGGAACAACATGGTTGCATTCAACCGACGTAACTTGTTCTAAATTTTTGTTTGAATTTATAATAGGTCTGTTTCTGCAGAAATCACAAACCAGTCACAGTGAATTTTATTGGTTAAACCTAGTTTTCTGACTGTTTCTGATTGTTTTCAACCAATGAAATTCGCTCTGACTGATTTGTAATTTCTGCAGAAACTGACCTAATTTTTTTTCTAGGTTGGTCTCAAAAATGGCCTATCAGACGGACGGGATTCAAATTTTCAAAAAAGCTTTGATACAGGTTATAAAGATGGATTTCGAAACGGTTATGAATTAGGAAAATTACAATTTCAACGGTATAGGGTGAGTTTGCTATGAATACCTTGTTAATTTCACGCATTTTGTTTATTAGAACGCAGTTAAATCGACCGGTTAGTGCACAAACAACTGAACTTCTTCAAAATACCAGTACAGGAATGTGCGTTGCGTGCACTAGCGAAAAGGACAATGAAGATGTTGCTGATGTTCGGAGAAAGCAAAACGCATTATTTGGAGCGAACATTGAAAAAATTAATCGGGATTTTAATAAAGACAATCTTGACTAGTTGAAATAAAGGCTATTTTTTAACATTGGCGAAAATAAATTATCCCTATTCTTACTCTAGAACAATAGTTGTATTTCTTTCAAGAGTTTGAAACACTCGAGCTACTCGCTCCGGTGTTTAGTAGCCCCCGATTTGCAGGTAACAGATGCGTGGTGCAACAAACACTTTTCGAAAGGAATAAGCGCCTGAAGCCCCGGGCTCCTTCTAGTGAAAGGAGTTCAAGAGTTTAGAATCCTAGAGTTACTTGCTCCGGTGTTAGTCGACCCCGATTTGAAAGGAACAGATGCGCTGATTTTCGTGCATTTAAATGGTATGATTCGGGCTTGAGCACTCAGGGGCAACCAACACTTTTCAAAAGGAATAAGCGCGTAAGAGCTGTTCCAAAGCTGCTCCTAGGTGTGAAAGGAATACAACTAATGGCTCTGTTCGGAAGAGCACAAATATAAATTATTAGGGAAAATGGGAATTTTATGAAAAGTGGAACGAACAATAGCCACTTCCACTTTTCGAAAAGTGAGGTTAGGTTACAAAATTTAAAAGGATTTTGTTTTGAAAAAATTGTTTGGCTGCAAACATAAGGAGCCCCTTAGTTACCCCTAAAACACACTTTTATCATAAGTTTCCGCGTCGGGCATTTAAAATAACTTTTGGTCTATCAATTCAAAATACTTTTGAACCATGTCGTCGGGTAGAAAATGTAAAAATTGCGGAAGTTCCGATATAGAAGTCGACCCAGCTAGAGGCGATGCTGTGTGTACGAATTGCGGTTCCGTGCTCGAGGACAATATTATCGTTTCGGAAGTTCAATACGAAGAAGGGGCTCATGGCACCTCGAATGCTATCGGTCAATTTGTCGCGTCGGATTCTAAGGGGGGCGCAGCAAAGTTTGGAGCATGTAAGAAATTATCTGTTATTATTTAAAGGGTATCCAAATTTGACCCCATTTTTTAATTTAATGGTAATGAAGCATGCAGCGGGCTGAGGGGGCACTTAAGAAGATAAAAATAAAATTATATTACAGTAGTGTCGCGATAATCCGGATCAATTAAAACCAGACCAATCCGGATTATCAAATTATTCGGATTACCAAGGCATTTTACAGTCCCTGTTTAAAACTATTTTGAAAAAATAACATGCTGTATTCAAGCAAAAAAAGCTTTATAATTTATTTGAAAAACAAGACAAATTTAAAAAATAATTCTATATAGAGTGCGTTTAATAGGTGCCATTTTCTTTGAAAAAGCCCACACAGTCAGGAAGGACGCTGCATATTGAATGATGTGTGTAGACATGTAAAAACTACCTATCCACTTGAACGCAGTTACAAAACGACAAGTAAAAACCTGTGCTTTTATTTTCAAGAGTTATGTAAATGAATTCGGATTACTGAATCAAGTGAAATCTACATCTCTTAAGCTAGAAGAGCAAAGTCAGCAGAATCGAAAATCAATGCATGGAATATTAAAGGCTAATTAAATGCCCTAATGAGAAATTTTAGGCTCCTTGAAGTTTCGCGAAAATGAGTGTTCTGCTAGCTTTAACTTAAGCCAGAAGAACATGAACGAAAAAGTGGCCGAAACAACAAAAATTGCAATTCCACTTGCACAGACATTAAAGGCTCTCGAAATACACCAATCCAAATTTCAGACTAATTTTTTTTTTAATTGCAAAAAGCGCGATGCGTGAGTGATGTCGCCCAAGCATGCCAGAAAAACCTCTCAGACGGTGAAAATCAGTGTTGCGATAGTGCAGTTGTAGTGAATACATTTAAGACTAATTAAATGCTGCTATGAGAAATTTTAGGCTCCATCATTTTCATGGCTATGAGCGAAAAAGTGATCAAAACAACAAAAATCGCAATTCCACTTGTAGAGACATTGAAGGCTCCGGAAATGCACCAATCGCAAATTTCAGGCTCAATTACTTTTTTGATTTAGTGGGTTTGGGAAAATCTGATTAAAATTGCCAAGTACCCAAACTAACCAGGTTATTATTGGTAAATTTAGAAATGTCTGAAATTCGCAATTAGTGTATTTCCGGAGCCTTTAATGAGCCTTGAATGTCAGTGCAAGTGGAATTGCAATTTCTGTCATTTTAGCCACTTTTTTGCTCAGGTTCTGCTGGCTTAGGTTAAAGCTAGCAGAATAGCCATTTTCGCGGAAACTAGGAGAGCCTAAAATTTCTCATTACAGCATTTAATTAGCCTTTGATGTATTCACAACGACTGCACTACCGGAACATTGATTTTCACTGTCTGACAGGTTTTTCTGCCATGCTCTGCCGACATTACCCATATATCGCCACTTTTCGCATTTTCACAAAAATGTAATTGAGCCTGTTTGTGATTGTTGTATTTCCAGAGCCTTTAATATCGGTGCATCTGGAACTGAAATTTTCTTTGTTTTAACCACTTTTTCGCCCATGTTCCATGGCTTAGGTTGAAGCTAGTAGAATAGCAATTTTCGCGAAAAATTCAAGGAGCCTAAAATTTCTCATTACAGCATTCAATTAGCCTTTAATGTATTCACGAGTGTATTCACTACGATTGTACTATCGGAACGCTGAGAGATTTTTCTGCCATGCTTGGCCGACATCATTCACACATCGCGCTTTTTGCATTTTCACAAAAAAAGTAATTGAGCCTGAAATTCAATATTGGTGCATTTTCAGAGCCTTCAATAAGCCTTTATTGTCTGTGCAAGTGGAATTGCAATTTTCGTTATTTTAGCCACTTTTTCGCTCACGTTCTGCTAGCTTAAGTTAAAGCTAGCAGAACACTCATTTTCGCGAAAAATTAAGGAGCATTAAATTTCTCATCGGGGCATTTAATTAGCCTTTAATGAGCCTTTAATGTTCCATGTATTGATTTTCGATTCTGCTGACTTTGCTCTTCCAGCTTAAGAGACGTGTGAAATCCGGATTACAGAGTACATCAAGGGAACGAAAATGCGATGCGGATTACAGAAGCATACGGATTATCGCAGGATCGGATTATCGTGACACTACTGTATTTCAAGGGCTTCTTGTGTTTTATATAACCCAATTATAGAGGAAATAAAAGGTATTTGAGGGGATAGAACAGACACTTATGTACCTAATGAGTCAATTTTATTTAAATATTAAGCAAAAATTGACGAATAGAAAGAAAAACAAAAAGAAATAATGATGTGTGTTGTGTGTGAAGCCAATTCCATATTCTTGCAATTATTATGTGTAATTAAAAATCAAACTAAGAAAAGGAAAAAATAATTCTAGGAACTTGTATTGATATTTAATGGATCTTGTATTGTTTTAGAATTAGACATTGGAAAAAAAATTATTTATTGGTTTTTATCGAGGTTTTTATTCCGATATCGAATGAATGCAATGTTTGCAAAGGTCATTTATTGGGAATCACCCAAGAATCATAAACTAACAGGATTGCTCATCCTCATAAGGCGTTCGTTCGCCAATTCTCAAGTCAGCAGGGTCTGCGAATGACGTCATCAGCATCTAATAGTGGTGAGGTCACCCGCAGACCTCGATGGAGTGTTTGCAATTCAGGCTATGCTTGTGAGTTAATTTTTTCGTCGATTTTAAATGTAGAAAAGGTGATTTTAATATGATTTTAACGTTAAGGAATTTTTTTTATTGACCTATAGTGTTTTTTTAAACTCGGCTAATGCATTTTACACCAAGAGTTGAGGTCTGCGGCTGAAATGGTAGACACTTTCAGCTCAACAAGCAGTCCTATTAGGTTAAGTGTTCTTGGGAATCACCCATGTTAACATTCAATATGACGTGGCGGCCAGCAAGTTTGTTTGAAATATTTATTTTCATGCATATTTCGATTATTTTGCTTCGAGTTTTGCTTGCAGCTTTGATTTTGATTATTCAATAAAATATTTGTTTACTAGGAACGTGAATTATTAAGTCGGGCAGAAACTAGATGTTTTTTTTATGTTTTTGGTTCATGTGTTTATTGAAAATAATTAAAGCTCCAAGCTATTTGCAAAGATGTCACAGTGCGAAACAGGTTTGACACCGGAAGCAACCTTAGACTAGTGTGTGCCAAGATACAAATCGAGATACAAATAAACACCAACATAGAAAAGAGAAGACTAGTCACCAGACATCCCTTACAAGAGATGCAATTATACATTTTTTAGCATTTTTATACATATAATGAATAGTGCTTTACTCTATTTTTTTTTATTACATTTTTGACGTGTGTAAGTACTCTGTATAATAACATGAATAAATAATTTGAATTTGAATTCAATCAGGAAACCTATCAAAAAAACTGGAGAAAACACTGAGGCCACCGGCACTCCAGTATAAGGACATAGATAAAATTCTCAATAAAATATCACATGGTATAAGTACAGCCACAGAGAAAACATGCAGTAGGATAAGACAGAGATCAGATACCAAATTAAAACCAGAGACGATAGAACTAATAAGAAAAAGAAGAAAAACTGACAGAGACTCCCCAGAATGTAATACCCTAAATAAGACAACGAAAAAACTGAAACAAGAAATAAGAATAGACCTAAGAGAAAACAAAACAAACAAAATCCTGGAAACTATAGAGAAAAATAAAGGCATGAGAGTTCTAAGATCGAACCAAGAGAGGGGAAAACAGAAAATTGTCAAAATAAAAAACAATCAAGGAATCCTAATCACAGACAAACAGGAAATTAGAAGGGAAATACAAATATTCTACGAACAGCTCTATCAAGCCCAAATGGACCACCTAAACACATTACAAACATATGCTCAAAAGACATGCCAGAAATATCACCATCAGAAATTAAATAGGCACTCCAACAGATTTGATTTAATTTGATTTTGATTTATATAAACTTTTCATTAAAATTAAGCCTTTGACAGCGTTGAAACCTGGTCTTTTCTAGCGGCAGTGAAAGACGCAAGAATCGATTCAAGAAACTCTACCCTTATTGAGAATATCTATAATAAGGCAACCTTTCACGTAAAAATAGACGTGTCCTCAACGATGATCTTAAAACAGACAAAATATCACTTGGCAAAGGAGTACGACAGGAGGATACCATCTCTCCCAAGCTATTTACCCTAGCACTGGAGAATGGTTTTAAAAAGCCGGAATGGGAAAACAAGGGCCTAAACATCGATGGAGTATACCTCAATCACCTCAGATTTGCAGATGATATAGTTTTGATAAAAACCAACATTCAAAAACTGAACAACATGCTAAATAAGCTAAACGAACAATCCAAGAAAATAGGCCTAAAATGAACCTAAACAGGACCAAAATTATGAGCAAAAATGAATGTAACATCACCATAGACAATGTTACTATCAAAAATGTAGAACATTACATAGTTCCTAAGCATACTTAGGACATAAAATCAAGCTGGGCAACCAAACGGCGGAAATCAAACGCAGGATCTATTTTGGCATGGGTGCATTCGGAAACGAACTTTATTTTTAAAGATAAAAAGGTACCCATAAAACTAAAGAGGAAAGTCTACGACAGCTGTATTCTGCCGGTTCTCACCTACAGCTTAGAAACTATGGCAATAACCCGAAGAGCAGCTGAGCAACTGAGAGTCGCACAGAGAGCCATGGAGATAATAATGCTGGGAATCACCTTAAGGGATAAAATACGAAATTAATAGATACTTGCTAGAACCAAAGTGACGGATGTTATGAAAAGGGTAGCAAGCCAGAAGTGGCAATGAATCGGACATGTCGCGAGACAGGACTTAGATAGATGGACCCAGAAAACAGCACTCTGGAGACCAAGAGGAATAACAAGAAATGTGGGACGACCGCAAAAGAGATGGATAGACGATTTCAGAACGGCGGTAGGGGATGAGATAAGTGAGAGATCGGGGGGGACATGGAAAAACCTGGAAGAGGCCTATGGACACATGCTGATGAAGAAGAAGAAGATAAGCAATTCAATCAAGGTTCGTACACTCCGCTAGAGTGTAGGAACCTTAAATTCAATGCTTTAGCTGTTATTCGGTGTACAAACACCTGCCAAAAACTAGCTTCACGTTTCATAGCAGAATGGCGCGTTCCTACTCCTTATGTCCGTAGGATAGCGCTTTGCCTGCTCTAAGATTTTATGCCTAACGGTTTTCGACACCGTGGAAGTGTGACGTCACAACCGCTCGCTTGACTCAGATAGGTGAAACATGGCTTTTGGTTTTGAACCAAAGTACACTAAAGCAGAATCTGTTGGGCTCCACGCTGTTGTGACGTCACGTCCACGTTTTGTTGCAAACTTTAAAGAATAGACACCCGGCAGAGAGGCGAGGTTTTTCGATGTTGTTCTTGAATTTTTTTTTACATAAAATAAACCAAAAACGTATTTTTGGTTTACACCTAAGTTTTCTATGATATAAGCAGTTTACAGCGTTTATCTAGTTCATTCTGCAGATCCGTATTTGGTATATTGGTGGAAATATTTTGTATAGGGGAATAAATAAGGCAGGTACCTAGTGTATAACCAAATGAATTGGAATTGTGTTCTTGACGGCCTCTTATCACTTAACTTATCACATATCAGATAACGTTACTAAAGTTTACTATGTCGTCGTTGTTGAAATGTTTCATGTGTTGAGCTAAATGTGTGCTTAGGGCAAGGCCAAAGGACGGTGAACTCTTTGGTTCAAATTGCGATTCCTGTTCAAGGAGTATCTGTAGGCAATGTGCTGGAATTAACACTACAGAAGCTCTGTCACAACGAACTCTTTTGTTCTATTGCCCAGACTGTAAAACCAAAAGTGAGATCATGTCTGATCTAAAACTCATAACAAACTGAACTCCTTGAGTGAGCACAGATTGGATGTTCAGAGTCTTAGAGATCATGTAAACAAGCTTGTCCTTGAAGGCACAGAGAATGACCGGCATATTGCCAGGTTAAACAAAAGAACCACTGACGTCGAAGATGAAGTTCACAATTACCAACAGTAATGTGAGGCTGAAATCAAAGAGCAGAAAAGGAAATTGATGAGCTTGAACAAAGAATTTGGTAATTTTCAAAGGAAAAATAAGGAGCTATTGGGCCAAATAGAAGAGCTGAATAATCAGAGTAGTAAAATGAGTGCTGAGTTGGTGGAATTGGATGAGTTGAAGAACAGAGACACTTACCAAAGATAACGAGGCTATTACATTTCGGAACTGAAAAGAACCAATTACGAACTCTTCTTGCTCAAGGAAAAATCAAAAAATGAGTAAATTAATCAAATCAAATCAAAAATGCTTTATTGTATAAATAGCTCAACACTCTCACTTACAAAGCTGGAAATAAAAATAAAGATATAAGTTATGTGCAAACGTGGTACTTGAGTTAAGAAAACGATAACAATTAAAAACAATAAAATAAATAACAAATTTAAAAACAAAATATTTAAAAAAAGAAAACCTACATAATTAAAATCTATCATTGTAAGATTACTGAGACTGCTCCAGACCACTCTAACGGAAAAAATAGGCCAACTTCACACACAGGCCACTCAAGGTTAAATCCAAATTCCAGTGTTGATGAGCGCCGAGTTTTGACCCAGTACCAAAAAATAAAGCCACAATTACTAATGATTGGCAACCGCCCCTATATGAGTGGCACATCTATGCTGTTTAAGAGATATCCCTATAACGCTTTTGATATCAACTGCCAATTTGAAAGAAGGACTCCCTTGGAGGAGCTAATGGATAAATATTTGAGTTCGTCTAGGAATTTTGGCAAGGAGGAATAGGAGGATTATGTGGTTGTGTTCGTTGGAAGGGAAAATTCTCTAGCGGAAAGAGGATTCAGCTCTTCATGCTTGCAACAGTTAGTTAATGTGATTGAAAAACCCAACCTATTTGTTATTGGACTAGGCTTTGAGGATCAAAAACTTATTCTGAATAACTTTATGTATGATATTCTTCTGTCAATCAAAAAATATCTGCATTCTTTGAGAGTCAGATCAACGATGTTTGATTCCGGAGAGTATTTTGCAAAATCCAAATTAATTGCACAGATAAGCAACGATATTCTCAGGCGAGACAGTGTGTTTTGCAGTACTTTGAATGAGGATTTTGTTATAATTTCACATGATGAAAAGACTAACTCAGCGGCTCCACCATCTGAGTTTTGTTCGTGCCCCTAAACATATCCCACCCCAGTCCATAGGAGACAGTATAGTAGCAGTGAAATTGAATTGTTCATTTTGTTCTCCTCGGCGGCGATATAATTTTTCCCTGCCATCGATCGAATTAATGCAAAAGCGGCTCTCATCTGTAAAAAGAACGTTGGTCCAATGGTCATATTCCCAATTTTCATGTTCCCTACCGAAGCGTAGTAGTCTTGTCACTCGATAACGCTGCTGGAGTTTTGGATTTTTTTTTGTTCTATAGGCCTTCAAACCAATTTCTTTGAGCCTTCTTTCTGCTGATGGTTCGATGACTTGTCCTCCTTCCACGTACTTCTTCCAGTACGTTTTTTATTTGTGGTACTGTACGCCTATTCCGTAATGTTTGCAAAACAATAAATTTGTGGTCTCTGGCTGTGGTTGACCGTTTTCTACCTTGGTCTTGTCTCCTCACATACTCTTCCGTTTGCCTCCAACTTCTTACATTACGATAGATCGTGGATTTTGATTTTCCTAACATGTCAGCAACATCAGTGTAAGATCTACCATTTTCAATCAACGCTACAGTCCTCGCGACATCAGTAGGAGTCATATCACCCATGTTGGATTTTTCTCGATTGAAATTAAATAAGAATATTGACTTTCGCTTGACTTTGACTTGACTCAAATAAGATTAAATTCGTCAATATCCTACTGATGTGGCGAGGTCTATTGAAAAATAAATTGGAGAACTCCTAAGCCTTGGTCAAGTGTGAAGGAAGAGTTTAGAGAGTTTGGTTTAGATAAATAACATTTCACCAAACAGAAATCCTTAAAGAGACTTTCTGATCCCTCTGTATATTTGTGAGCATTCTTTTCACAATAAATTGATCGGTAAGAGGTAATACTGCGAGCAATATTTAACTTGAAGTAAACGTTCACACGCGGCTTGAAGTTGGAAAACGACACATTTTCATATCCAACTCGTATGTCGACGTGGAGAAAATTAGGGTCAATATCCACCTTTTCTTCGAAACTCTGTATTTTCAATAATATTGAAAATATCAGAGTGAATGAAAAATTTTTGTTCGGAAAAGATGAGTTGGTGTTGAAAACTGTTTTGAACTTCCAATGGTTTACTCTACAGGGTGTCTCGAAAAACTCTGAAAATTACTGACTTTCTTTCCATCCCTGTATATGATATAAAGACGAATCATTCAATAATAATAACGGTAATACGTCAGATGTATTCCAGAAGAATCAAGCTACAATCTCTGAAAAATTTATCGAAATCGAGCGCCGTCTTTTGACCTTGAAAGGAAACTTCGAATTTGATATCCATATACGCGAAAACATAAATATTTATCACTGCCAGAAAATAAAACACAAAAAGTTATTACGCAATTTTGAATATTGGAACCAACAACTTGCCCATTGCACACAAACAAAAATCTGCCGGATTTTTTAGTAAACTTATTAAGAAAAACGGTTTCTAATTCATAGATCTTAGCAACACAATATCTCATTTGAAATTCCTCTGCTTACAGGACGACGCACCAATAATCTCGACTAATGAATAATTATAAATATCGATTTCATTAGGGAAATTATAAATCAGGGACCTACTTAAACATTTCTAAAATTTTATGTTTTTTTCTTTTAGCTTTCCACATGGGCGGTGGCTTGGAATCAAGAGAATTCACCTTGAGGAGAGCTCGTAACGGCATCACTCAACTCGGCAATCAATTGAAACTGAACCAACACTGCATTGATACCGCTTGCAGTTTTTTCAAAATGGCCCTATCGAGAAACTTGACCCGGGGAAGAAAAAACACTCACATACATGCGGCCTGTGTGTATTTGAGTTGTAGAACAGAAGGCACTGCACGTATCCTTTTTATAGATATTTATTTGCGACATAGTTTTTATACTTATTCTATGAATTTAGTTTTTCTTTAATGTATTCGTATGACACATTTGTGATGCCCCAAGCAAATAATGACCTAAAACTATTGATGATGATGCCACGATAAAAGTTAGCTATTCCTCCTCCATCTTTTCTATAAACGTCCTGAGCAATTTCTGTGAGACCCCTAAATCTTCCTCCCAGGTTCTGATGAATATTTACTTTCATTACTTTGAGCGGATAGAACAGAATTGTCATGAAAGTTCCTATGAGTGATCCGAAAATAAATTGCTGAATATTGCCAGCGAAAGATTTCGTGTTAGTCGTGTTATCAATGCCATAACGCTTATTGAGTTCGTCTTTTGTGATAAAAAAACAGGAGTTGGCTGTTACATTTCTCAACAAAATAAGAGTGTAGCCTCTATAAAACTCTTTCACATGATAATCTCTTGCTATGACTGCCGTTAAGTGGAACATATTTCTAAATCTTTTATTGTACTTTGATGATACTAATAGTATTTGTATTCTTTCCAAGGGCATAAAAACCGATTCCAGAGTCCCAGCTATAAAACAAGCAGAAATTTTCTTGTAATATTTACCCATTTTAACATGTTCTAATGGTAAACTGGCCGCTTTATAAACAGCAAACATTGTTGAAAGCGTTACACATCTTTGCAGCATCGGGGGAATGGCACCTCTATATAAAATCCACAATCCTTCCTTCCGTATTATTTGTAATGAATTTACGGCCCTTTGGTTTTCTAAAATTTGTCTGTAAATTAGCTTGGTCACTGGGTACGTTATTCCTATGTTGAGAATAGCTGAACCGAGGCCGGAAATGAATTCTACTCTGATTGGAGTTTGCTTATTGGTAGGGTCATTTTGGGACATAAAAAAGAAAATTGTTTTTCCGCCGCATTTGATTGAAAATTTTTAGACATATCATTGTCAGATTATGACTCTACCATAGAACTATTATGCAAATCATACTTAAGCCGGCGCCACACGATGTGTAGCCGTGCACTCGTGACCAATATGTGTCCAACGTTGGCAACACGTACCACTTGGGACAAAGTCGGCAAAATTGTATCTAACGTTGGATCCAATGTTGAGACCAATGGTTGGACGAATCGTGTGGCACCGCCGGCTTTACTGAAGTTTGTCACAATCCTCGGGAGTCCATAAGCAACTAAGTAATGGCGTTTCCGATTGGTAGTTTCAAGGCGCACTGAATGTATTTGCATCCTTTCAATCGACCTGTAGAAGAAAAAGAAATAAAGAAAATTGCACTAGTTACGCACTAGATCTACCAATCGGAAACGCCATTAGTTTGAGATCATTTGCCAAAAGCAAGTAATGACCTTGGTAGTGACTGCTGGGACACGCCAGAAAGGATATATTTAGGGCTCTTGAGAGAGAATTACCAATCTTGACAATTTGTCTGCACTCAGTCCAAGAGATAAGAGATTCACCAATCACAAGCATTGCGAACTTATGAACGAAATAGCTATTTATACAATAAGTTACGAAATGAGCGTCTTTTAGGCACGCGACGTGAAAATTGTCCAACGAGGCAAAGCCGAGTTGGACAACACGTCGAGTGACTAAAAGACATCGTTTCGTAACGTATTGTATACAAGATTTTTTCTACTGGCATTTTATAATAAAAAAACACAATTTTATTTCATGTGAATAAGTCGATTACACCCAAAATCTTTGTTACCTGCTTTTACTTGACACCTGACACTTTTCATGCGATTTTCTTTTCAAAATTCGACATCAATAATTAAAATCCTAGAAAGTAGGTAATAACACAAACTTCTGTTTTGAGTAACCCAAACGTTCAATTCAGTAATTCCATTTTCAATATTCATAATAAATACAAAACAAAATTCAAATATGTGTTTGGTGTGTTTTTTATTTCTGAATAATGAATGACACTTTTAGGCACTAGTGCTTAAAAATTACTTTTACGCACTCGTAAGTCACTTTTACGCATTCAAAAGTCACTTTTACGCACTGAGTGCCTAAAAGTAACTTTCACGCACTCAGTGCCTAAAAGAATGTCGTTTCAAAACTGAAATGACAATCGAAAAGTTGCTATTATGAAACGTCAGTAGAAAAAAACTATTTGAACGCTTTGAGAAGTTATTATAAACAGTATCGATCTGCCAGTACCAAAAACCTTGAGAATTGCACTCAAGATGCCTATGGGACGATAATTTGTTACAGATGACCTACTGCCTGACTTAAAAATCAGCTTCAAAAAGCTTTCCTTCCAATAATCTGGGAAATAACCAGTTTGGAAGCAGATATTGAAAATGTGGTCAAGAGTTCTGACGAGATTAAAAGCAGCAGCTTTTCAGATATATTGTAGGTACCCCATCTGGCCCCCGATTCTTGTTAATATCTAGAGATGAAAGTTTAGTGAAGATATCAGAAATTGTGATATCAATAATGGAGGAAGATATTTCATGATTGGGTACTTTCACTTTGGTTAGTCCTCTACCCTAATTGGATCTGAATCTAGAAAGTTTGTAATAAATAAAAAAAATCAGATTAAAAATTAAGGTGATTGAAGAACTGTAGAGAAATAGTCAGCAAACATGTTAGCAATATGCCTGCCAGAGCTAGTTCAGAAGGAAAACCGTTATTTTTCCGTTTATTGTTAACCAAGGACCAACATTTTTTAACATTTATCAGTGCTGATCGCCATTCCAGTAAGATAGATGTAATTATTATAAGATTTGTGCCTCGGTTGTTTGCACAAACGCAACCTATCAAACTTCCGATAATCATCAGTGGATTTGAATTTTTTTGTGGGCAATTGTACAGCTTTTAAGATTAGCAGAGAACTATGTCGGGAATGTTTTGGCTGAGTACTTTTGTAAAATTACAAAACTATCAATAGGTACGAAAATAACATCATACAAAATATCTAAACGAGAGGTAAACCAAATTAAAAAATATATATACTCCAGAATCCCAGTTATAACAGAATCCCACGCGAATTCCAGAAAATATGAATGAAATTTTTGACTAATGAGTAGGTAAGGGGTATATTTCATGAGTGAATTGAGTTCTACTTATTTTTAAACCTCTACGGGACGAGCGGAATGAGTTCCGCAGCAATTAACTCATTACTGACTCATACTGATATAAAAATTAGGAGTTTTTGAGTTAATGAGTTAATGCATGCAAAAATGATGAAAATCTGCGAAATTCACTTGTGCAAAATACTTCTAATGTAAACACTTCTAAGTTACTTGAAACTTTCAGGATTTATGAATTGAAGTTTCCTTTTGTGGAAAAGTTAATTTGAAATTGATTTGAAGCTTCAAACTAAATTTGGAAGCTTTTTCTTACGTTAATGCGAAATAATTAAAATCTATAAAAATCACTTGTACCTTGTGCAAAATACTTTCAATGACCACAGTGCCTTATTTGAAGTTGATTTCAAGCTCCAAATCAAATTTAGAAGCTTTTTCTTACGTTAATGCTTGCAAACATTATTAAAATCTGCAAAAATCACTTGTGCAAAATACTTCCAATGATCACAGTGACTTGAAACTCTTAGGAATAATGAATTAAAGTCTTTTCCATATGGAAAAGTTAATATGAAGTTCATTTGGAGCTCCAAACTAAATTTAGAAGCTTTTTCTCACGTTAATGCATGCAAAAATTATTAAAATCTGCAAAAATCACTTGCGCAAAATACCTCCAATTATCACAGTAACTTGAAACTTTCAGGATTTATGAATTGAAGTTTCTTCTTTCTGCAAAAATCACTTGTGCAAAGTACTTCTAATGATCACAGTGACTTGAAAATTTTAAGATCTATGAATTGAAGTATCCTCTTCGTGGAAAAGTTTATTTGAAGCTTCAAACTAAATTTGGAAGTTTATTCTTACGTTAATGCATGCAAAAATGATTAATATCTGCAAAAATCACTTATGCAAAATACTTCCAATGATCACAGTGTGACTTGAAACTCTCAGGAATAATGAATCAAAGTCTTTTTCATATGGAAAAGTTAATTTGAAATTCATTTTAAGCTTGAAATCAAAGTTGCATGAAGATACTGTAAAAATGTGCTGACCTGGAAATTAGTGCGTGAAAATTCTGAACTAACGAGTAAAAAGCTGCAAAACTCGCTCCGCTCGTCCCGCAGAGGTTCTTGAGTAATTCACTCATTGATAAGAAAAATTCTGACCTGAAAATTGAATAAATTTTGAACCAATCAGTAAAAAGTAATGAGTAATCTAGGTACTACTCATTTTTTAACCTCTCGTCGTTCTGATATAATGAGGATGACGACTTTCTGAACTACAGAATCTGGAATTCCATTGGAACCTCACAGGCTTGTATACTATAATTCCAAGGTGGTTTACCCCTCGTTATTCCATTAAAATTTGCGGAGTTAAAGTCTCTGTAAAATTCTTCGAAGTTAAGGTTAATTTTCACTTGCGCTTCACTCAGCTCGGCGACGCGAGACGACGCCGCGATGCAAATTGTCGCTAGATAAAAAATTCATTGGTTTAAATGAATAGATCCGCACCGACACTGCACTACACTTTACGACGTGTCGCATTTAAACCACAATGAAATATTTATTTATAGCGACAATTTGCAGCGCAGCGCCGTGTTGCGTCGCCGAGCTGAGTGAAGCATGAGTGAGAATTGACCTTTAATCCAATCATCAGTTTCAGTCGCTTCAGAACTCATTAACATCATATGAATATGAATATGAAAGGGTGGGTGGATAACGGGAGGAACCAGGAAGAAGTGGGCCAGGCTGACACTTGTTTCTGAGTCCGGAGTCAAGACTAGATCAAATAGGATGTCATGTGAACGAGGTAATTGTTCTGTTGGAAGAGGTTGTGAACGTTGCAGGTATGAAACATAATTTGTATGCAAGATGGACTTCAATGCAATGTCCCGTCATAGAGCTTGCCTTATATTAAAATCACCATTACTGTTAGCAGGCTTTTATTGACAACAAAATTTTGACGCTGCCCTGTGAGTATATCCTCCAAAATTTAGTTTATGAGGAACCATTATGATACATTTATGTGTAACAGTGACTTTCACTTTCACAGCTATAACATTCGAAACAAAAATAACTAAAGACCCATCTATCGTCATTTACAGAGATGTCAGGGTGGACCTGGATACCATGCTATAAAATTTTTCAACAAACTACCAGAGTATGTAATACAACAATAAATTCCATTTTAAGATAAAAATTAAAGATTTTCCTTAATAAAGGCGTTTCACAGTCTAGATGAATTTTTATGAAATTGTAATTTTAAATTGTATTTTGACTTGTGTAAACACTCTATTATGTATTAAGCATCAATAAACTATTCTATTCTATCCATAAATTCCTAAGTTTTGATGTGTGTGTGTCTAATGCCCGTTTCCACCAACTATTTTAAGGAAGCCTTAATGATAAGTATTTCTCAAACTGACATTTCCTCATGGAAAACTGTCATTTTCAGGAATACTTATCATGATATCTCTAGCTATTGAGTGTGTTCAAAGAAAGTTCATGAAATATGTATTGTGCCTATAGACAAGATGATCACTTCTATCTTTGTCTTCCATCACTTGGACAAAAGATTTTCCGATTTGTACTCCGTTTGAAATTCTCAAATAAATCTCCCTTAAGTACCATCTTCCTAATCTTTTAGAATTATTTTTTTTTCTTTGGGTGTTAAAAGAACTAATTAGAGTGGTCATTCTCGTCTCATCCTTGGTCTTGCTCTTTTAAATGCTTACAAATGGGGCATCCAGTAGGTACATGTTAAATTGAAGTGGATTTTTCTGATATGTGTTTGAAATACTGAGATTTAGAATTCATCTGTAAAACAAATTTTAATTTATTTTTTCCTTAATTCACTATTACCACAGATTTACTGATTGACATTAGTGACGTTCTTCAAATCTGCTGTTATGAGCTGGGAAGAACTTATCTGAAATTGTCTCAGGCACTGTGCATAAATGTTCCATCAGTTGGTAAGTGATTTTTTTTTTTATATTACATGAATGTTTGACACCAATGTTGATAAATTGAATATTCTCAGATTTAAATTATTTAAATACAAATTTTGAAATGAAAAATCAAATGTTTGATAGAGTAGAAATCAAACGAGAAGAAGCCACGCGCGTTATCGTTTGTCTCACTTTAGATGGGAGGGACCTAGAGAAAAGGAAATCTGCTTTCTTTGTCAGCGCTAACAACAGTGGCTTCTTCTCGTTTGATTTTTACTCTATCTAGGGAATATGATGTTATACATAAGTTAGCTACGGATTTGTTTTTATATTTTATTATTTTTACACTCTTAGTGATTCAGAGTGTTTCATCAAGATTAAATAAATGTATATCAAAGGTAATAGCATAGGCATAAAAATTTGGGGTATTTTTGAAAAAATTAATGTGACCAAATTATTTTTAAATTACGCATTTCATCATATGGAGGCACAACTGTAAATTATTTTTAATTTCTCCAAAAATTCCCACATTAATTTATAAAGCTTGAACAATTCAGCATAGTTATATTTGACTTTAGTATACTTTGGCTTGTTTTGAAGAGAAGGGTCAGTACTTTGACCTCACATATCCGTTCGTTCGTACACAATAACTTTTCATGAAATTGCTAGAGAGCGCAATTTGTAATAACTTTGGATAAAATTGTGTCTAGTTTGTTGATTTTTCAATTGAAACTATTTAATTCCACTTTCAGTAGGTATTGAATCTATAATAGTTGAATTGAAGATGCATGGGAATTAAAAAACAATGTATGGTGTGTCCCATGAAAAAATCTCAATGTATATTTATTAATAAATTTACTAAATAAAGCACATTTTAATTATGAACCAACCTAATTTAATTTAAATAATCAAACTTACAATAAAAGTTTTGCAAAGATAATTAAAAAAATGCAAGCAATCAATAATAATAATTATTGTACAATAATATTTTTGGTGTTGCTATACTAAACCTATAAAATCAAATAAAAATTAAAATTAAAAGTTCCAAATATTGTATCAAACACAGTCTTTAAAATCAAGCAGGGGACACTAAACTGGAAGTCACTATCATAAATAATAAGAGTGAATAATGTAGGTCACAGCACTTTTAAACACTTCTGGAGTTTTATCAATGCCAAGCGAAAAGCGAATGGTTTGCCGTCTCACATGTTTTATAATAGCAACATTGCCAAAAATGGTTCAGAGATAGCTAATCTCTTTGCTGAATACTTCCATTCTGTTTATTCCAACAAAATCTGTGTTGCTAGTCAGGACATCTCTCGGAGCGATGCACATATTCATATTCATGAATTTAACATCTCAATATCAGTTATTTATGAAGAACTATGTAGCCTGCAGTCTTTTAAGGGTCCAGGTCCAGACGGTGTCCCACCTCTTATGATAAAGAATTGTAGCTTTGTATTATCCCGTCCACTTTTCATTCTTTTCAATAAGTCACTCAGTTTGGGTGAATTTCCTAAACTCTGGAAGCAGAGCTTCACCATACCCATTCATAAATCTGGCGATAAAATGGATATTTCAAAATACAGACCCATTATCATCCAAAACACCTTCCCAAAGGTATTTGAGAGCATAGTGACAAAGTTTTTAACTCCAAAAATCAATCCCTGTCTAATTGAGCAGCAGACCGGTTTCCGTCCAAAATGCTCAACTGAAACCAATCTCCTGTCCTACCAGGACAAAGTTTCAAGAATTCTTGAGGATGGCGAATCAGTTCACTCCATATATACCGATTTTGCAAAGGCTTTTGACCGTGTCAACCATGCCGTTCTGCTTGCTAAGCTTGAAAGTGCTGGAATCTCCGGTACTTTGTTGAAGTGGATTAGCGACTATCTTGGGGAGAGAACTCAAATAATCAAAGTTAACAACTTCTTCTCACACGAAATTGACATCCCATCGGGCGTTCCACAGGGTTCTCACTTGGGACCTCTGCTGTTCAACGTTTTTATTAACGATATCAAGTCTTGTTTTATTAACAGTGAGTTCCTGTGCTTTGCGGATGATTTAAAGGTGTTCACCCGGGTCTCTTCTATTGAAGACTGTGCCAGACTACAATCTGACCTCGACAGACTCTCTGAGTGGTGCGCTTTGAGCGGCATGGAGCTCAATGCTTCCAAATGCAAAGCCATTGTTTTCTCCAAGGGTCGTAGCCCTCCACAATTTGCCTACCATATAAACAACATTCCGCTTGAAACTGTCTCACAACAACGAGATCTTGGTGTCATTTTTGACAGCAGTCTCAATTTTATCACCCATATTTCAGACATCACAACAAGGTCGTTAAAACTTGTAGGCTTCATTAAGAGGTGTTCGAGAGATTTTACAAGCATAGATTCTATCAGATACCTTTATTGCTCAATGGTGAGGCCCCTGATGGAGTACTGCTCCTCTGTCTGGTCACCAATGTATTCTAATCATATCAGAGCCCTAGAGCTAGTGCAGCGCAAATTCGTACGTTATTTAGCCTTCAAGGCAGGTATTCCTTCGCTTGAGAACTATGTATATGACTATGACGACCTATACAGACGCTTCAATCTACAACCCTTGGCAGCTAGACGCAATCAAAGAGATTTATATACTTTTTACAAGGTACTGAACTCCATTAGTGATTCCGCATACCTACTGTCCAGAATAGGGCTTCACGTCCCAGCAAGGGACACCCGCTCTGCCATAACCTTCTCAGAAAGAAATCACCGTACAAACTATGGTTTCAATACATTCATCTCCAGAACTTCTCGATTATGTAACACCCATGGTAGCCTGGATTTTTTTGGACCCATAAATAGCTTTAAAAGAGAGCTTAACTCTCTAATGTAATTCTCCTCGTCTGTTTGTGATGCCAAGTTCGATAGCTAAGAATTTCTAGTCATCTTGATCAGTCATTATTTATGTTTGTCCTCTATTTTCTTATACCTATAACTGATTTAATGTTTTACTGTTAATAATTTATATGTATTTTTATCCTGTTACTACGCCAAGTATTACTGGCCTATGTTTATTTAGTTGTAAGGTACTTAATGTTTCTTGTTGTTTTTTTTTTTCTTTTGAAACTTTTAATGGGTCTTGCCCGTAAATAAATAAATAAATAAATAAATAAATAATAAAAATAATTATAGGAATTCGATTGCAGTATGACACTGTATTTAGAATGATAGCCCTACTGGCAAATTTTCATATATTCATTTTTGCAAACTACATTTTTGAGATCCACTTAATGAAATCTAAGGCCTTGTTATCATTCTAAACACGCGAACCGGCCTCAGTGTTCCTCGTGCGCCGGCCCGTAAAATATCAATTCGGGAATTTGGCCGCCTTGCACCCCGGTACCGTTGGTACTTTCGGAGGAACATTGAAATTGGAATGTAACTTGACCGACGGTCACTTCACTCATGCCTTCTTGTCCGAAATAGCTCAGTTCTCCACCATCTAATACTGCAGATGCTGTGTAGAATGTTTCAGGTTCGACCTAGAAGAAAAGTCTGATTACTGAACTTGATATTTGACAAACAGAGGTTGTAGATAGATATTATTGTTTTTGTAATTGTTTGCGATCGACTACCACATCCATCTCTTGTCAGGTGATTAATACTTTATGTATTAACATTGGATCATTTTGTAGCCAATTTAATCCTCTTTCGAGTGAAACATGATTAATTAAAATCGGTCCAGAAGTTTCAGAGTTATGGCCTATTTAATGGGGTCATGTCAAGTTGGGAAATTCGAAATACAATTTTGGAATTTTCTTCTTGAATTTTTTCCGGGGTTAGGAAGCCTCAAACGAGAAAATGCCAAGAGAAATTTTCTGTTTAATTTGACCCCCTCTACTCAAAAAAAAAAAAAATAGTTTTGGGACTTTTTGGGACTCCTCTACAAAATGGCTATCTTGAAATTCCGAAATTTTCTGAGTGCTTTTTTCGTAGAATCCGGCTCCTAATCTGGGAATAATTTAGTGTATGGAGTTTAGGGGATTTCGATGGGCCATAAGGACACAAAATCTCAGCAAAAAAAATTTGAAATTTTATCGTTTTAGTAAGGAGATAGCTACCTTATGATTTAGATTTTGGAAAACTTTGAAAGGTCATAACTTTTTTTTCTATTATAGATAGAAAGCTGAAATTTTCAGCAATTCTTACCCCAATAGAGGACTACAATTCCTGAAAATTTCAGCTCATTTGGACTTATAGTTCCCGAGATAAAATCGTGTTAAGCAATTTGGGGTGATTTATCAATTTTTCAATTTTTCTGAGTGCCTTTTTTCATAGAATCTGGCTCCAAATCTCAGAATAATTCAATGTATGGAGTTGGGGCGTCCCAAAGGACCATAAGGACACAAAATCTCAACAAAAAAATTTAAAATTTCAACGTTTTAGTAAGAAGATTTAGATTTTGACAAACTTTGAAAAGTCATAACTTTTTTTCTAAGATCGGTAGAGTTTCAGGGTACTTATGGCCCTTATAAGTTGCATAGACCTAACTACTACTCGTAGTAGTTAGGTCTATGTAAGTTGTAACAATTTCATTCAAATTACCTGTATAGGATTGTCAAAATACACATGGAAAGTATTGCTAGATCCATCCGAGAAAAACTTCGTATTGTTCTCAGCCAAAACCCTGCCTTGTCGTTTCAGTTCGATTTTAACACTGTAGTCCGCTGCTCCGTTTGAAGAACCATACAGTCCAAATCCTACCACAAAGATTCTTCTGTCAACTGAAAATTGTATACTGTCACATCGTCCTCTATAACGCCATTGGTTTGAACGGTAAGCGCAAGATTGGAATCGGTGACAAACCTAAAAACATTATTCACTCATGAGTTTGTTTCAAAATCCAAATCCAAAAATTCTTACCTGACTCTTCAATCCAGTCCTTGATTTGATGGGATACTGCAAACTTGGTTTATTATTTGCTGTAAAATGAAAAAATATGTCAATGGTTTCTTGTTGGGTCAAAATCCCCTTTTGAGCTGCCCCATTGGCAAATTCCTCTAAAGCCATAGTTGGGATTCTGATTAAGTATAAGGCGTTGCCTAGTACGGCACGTTTGTTTTGTGGCGTTGGTTCGATTTCCCTAAAAAGAAAAATAAGAATTATTCAGATGTTAATAAAGGATTTCAAAGACTGATTCCTACCTTCTGTAACATTCAGCCCCGGCCCAGTTTAGTGCTGCTTCCAATAAATTCATTTCTTTGCAGTTGAGTGTTTCACGGCCCAAAACTGACTCTAATGTCGACATATCTATATCGACGAATCCTTCAGATTTCAGAGCCATTTCCGCCTTAAAATAATAGATTTTGTTTTCTTTAATTATCCACATTACCATTAAATTGTAAAAGGTGGGTTAAGAAGAAAACAACTAAGATTGTTAGTAACCATATATTCCAATAAAGCCATACATTATTGTTTAATCAAGCACACAGAATCACAGTTACAAAAAGCTATAAAACAAATACAAATTTTGAGCATTTCTATATTCCATTGCCAAAACAATATTTAACATTTTGTCATAAAAATACTGGATATTATTATCTTTGGCATAAGTTCTTTGATGATTTGTACTAAATCCATTTATTTTTTAAGCCTTAGTTAGGATATTTTCGATTGCAAACACAAACTAAAGCTAAAATGTCGCTTCTTTTCCCCACTTTCCTCCACTTTAACACTATCAGAATCCCTTGTCAAGTCCAAACAACTCAAACTGTGGCTTACCTGAGCGTCTATAACTTCCCAACAGCGCTGCATTAGTTCTGGTTCTTCGAAAAGTCTGGACTGGCTTAGAAGGAGGCAAGCATTTTTGGCTGTTAGACTGGTTTCCAAATAGTTGACACAGGCACGTGCCAAATGGGGTACTATGTATTTTTTGGCTACATAAAGAGTAGCAAGAACTGTATCTGCTTCAAGATGGATTTCATCGCAATACAGATACCTGTAACAAAATTATGGTAAACAAAGCACAATTGATTCATAATAACTTACTTGAGCAATATCAAAAATGCCGATGGTTCAACATCTGGAACTATAATTTCTTCTTTGCATTCTGCAAGACCACCATAAAACATGGCATAGAATACTGAACTGCCTGTAGCGAGGACATATTTGTGCGCTGGAATGATTTGAGTGGAACCAGGAAGACCAACAATAAACCTAAAAAAGTTTGGAAAATTAGTAAACTTTATTAATTCAATTATAATTTGTATACTTTATGTCGGCCATAAGATCATTATTGAACATGGCAGCATTCCTTTCTCTGACTGTGGGTTTCAAAGCTTGCCAGTTGGGGTCTAGCGTACCGCAGTGGCCTACTGGTGAAACCAATGGTGGACTGGGTGGTGGTGAGCCTGGATTACTTGCTGGCTGCATCACCTACGAACAATTTCAACAATAGAAATTACATGAAGCCAATCAATCTGAAAATTGTTATCTTATTTGAATTACGTATAAAGGGTGATTTTTAAGTAGGCGGGCTTTTACGGTAATCATTACAAGACACAAAAAAAGTCTGAAACCCAAAGAGAGGATTTTCCAACTGGACTATTTCCAACAAAAGTTTCGACTCAAAATTTCAGCATGAAAAGATTAGTAATTTCAAGAAAAAGGGAAGTCTTCTTTCTAAGTTAAATGTAATTATTAAATAGAATGGTTGAAATCTTGGAAACCTACGCTGGTTAAAAACTCAAAACAAATACAGAACATATTTGAATTGTGAAAGGCACATCTAACTACTAAAATCTTGAAAGAATACATAGCAAGGTCATATCAGTAGGCAATAAAATACAAAAAAAAAACACAAACAAAAATCAAAATAAAAAATAAGCCAATTGTGGGAATTGAACCTTTCATCTTCAGGTCCAAACCAGAGGGAGCTGAGTAGGCTTAATGTTGGCTTTATGGGAATTTCTTATGATAAGATTATTAAATCAGATTGTTGGAAATCAGGAAAACTTAGAACATTATTTACATACATGGACTGGCACTTTATTGCTTTTCTAATATTTATTTATTTTCTCCAAAAGGTTCAACTTTTTCCTCTTAAAGCAATTATCTAACACATCAACTCCATCTTGTTAAAAAAAAATGTGGTTTAACTCAAGGAGTTGTACGAAAAAGCTTTGTTGTGCGCATCCTTGGACCTCTTTTGTTGAATAAGGATCAAGAAATCAAAAAGTGTTTTGATGTTATAATCACGTTTTTTCGCAGTTTTTAAAGGTAAGTTCTCTGACAACTCAAGAGTAGAATGTGGGAACTTTTGAAAAACACTTCTTTTTGCAATCTTTTCTTTATCTACTTTATTTGTGTGTTTAAAATAATACTATTGTAGGTACCTAACACTAATATAGTATTTGTAGTCAATATGTTGTAGAGAATATTTTGTATTTTACACAAGTCACAACACAAGTGATAGGGTATGTTACAAAACTCAAGAGTTTTGTATGTGTTGAAGCGCATGTATCCTGTAAGTATGAGATTTTATCTGTGACCGAAAGTTTTGATGCATGTTTTTTTTTCTGATTAGATGTGCTTTCCACAATATCGTTGTTATTTGTTTTAAAATTATTGTTAAAATAATCATCCAAAGGTTACCCTTTAGCAAACTACAAAAAAATTATAAAAATGTGATAATTTAATAATTAGTACATATTTTTGAAATTTCAATAAACTTATTAGCATAATTCTGACTTCTCAAGATAGTAGAAAAATCTGAAAATTAAATGCTAATGTTTGTGGTTTCTTAAGTACCTAATTCATGTAGGTAGGTATAGTATTACCTGTAGCAGTCCTCCGGTATCTTTCTGTGAAATTGAGTGAGGATGTGAGTGTCCTGCTTGTTGATTCGAAGCGGGCGGTGAGAGGCTGAGTGAGCCATTGTTGAGAGTTTCTGCTGTAAGGAAAATAATAATTTGATAATTTTTGTACACAAGTACTTAGTGCTAAAATAGTTATTTTTGTCACAAGTACCTAAAATGAAGTTTTTTAAGACGAATCATTGCTGTTTCCGGAAGAGGCGTTAGCCGACTTAGCCGAGTCCGGAATAACAGATGAGTCCTGAAAAACTTCGTTAGGTACGTGTGACAAACACTATTTTTTGTCATACGCTTTTTAGAATTCTTCAGAACGCGAAAATTTGCAAAATTTCCTCAATTTTTGAAATCATAAAGGTGCATCCAGAAAGAGAAAAAAAATCCTAAAAAGAAGCATTTTACGGACTTGAATGAGTCCGTAAAATAGCTGTTTTTGGGAAATATAATTACTAGCCCAAATCACATTATTTTAGGACTAGTAGTGACACACAAATTGGTCAGTTTATTGCTATAATATAATATTAACTTATTTTTTGAATCCAAACGATATATTGATTATATAGTTGGATACGTCCTTGATGATGATTGATGGTGCATATGGAAACGAAACTGTCATCTCAATAAAGATCTTTCAAAATCTGGTACTTGCACAAAATTTAACTTAAGTATTTATCAGATTTTCGTGGAAAAAAGTATCTAAAAGGCCCTTGCCATTTCTCTCAGTTAAACTTTGTCAACGTTACTGGCGTTTTCGGATTATCATTTTATTTTTAGGTAAAGGTGTACTATTTCAGATATAACTGGGAAATTGAAATACATAGTAAGTGTCAGTTTCACAAACAGTGGTAACCACAAGACACTGGTAACCTACAATATATCTGTTTCATAATGTATGGTTTAGCCAAAACCATGGGTCAAGCTTCAGATTATTCGATATGGTCAACCCGCAATTATGAGTTTTATAACCAGTGCAGGTTACCATCAATTGTGAAACTGGGCCTTAGACGGATAAGTTTTAAGTGTGGGAAAGACACTTTGTGCAAGGAATAACACTTTTTCTACGAGTAGACGTTGATTTGTTAAAATAGTAAAACAATACCGCAAAATCTCCCAAAATCTTTTAAAATCTTTTGGAATTCCTAAAAATGTCTTTTAAATTATTCAAAAATCATTTAACATCCTTCAACATTTCTAGAATATTTTCATGAACGTCTCCTAAATCTCAAAAATTCTACAAATTCCTAGTAGTACAGGGTGGTCCAATTTGGAAACCTTTGATAGGAAACATCATGTTTACTAAACGCTAAATTCAACTAAAACTCTTCAATGAGTGTGTAAAGTAATTACTTTTAAAACTATGATTAGGGAATATTTAATTAAGAAAGCATTCTACAGGGTGTCCCACCGGAAACCAAATCGATCTACAGTATCCGCCAAAATAAACAGTACCGAATATAAAAATTATATCTATATATGAATTTTTATAATGCATATATTCGAAATGTGGATTATAGCGACGCAAACAAGCTTTAAAAGGATTCTGCAAATCATTAAACATATTTTTTCTACTTGCGTGCGCAAAGTAATCACTTTGCACACTCATTTGCGTGCGCAAAGTTGAACTTTGCGCACGGAAACTCTTTGCGCACTCATTTTTGTTACGCATAATTACCATAGTTATTCTTGATTTTTCAATGTTTTGACGGTTTCTAAATAAACTAATATTCAAAATGAAGGGTTTAAGTTGAAAATTAACGCTTAGTTAACATGATGTTTCCTATCAAAGGTGTCCAAATTGGACCAGCCTGTACTGCTAGGAATTTGTAAAATTTTTGATATTTAAGAAAATCTCATGAAAATATTCATGCTGATTCTAGAAATTCCAGAAGATGTGAAAAGGTATTTGGGGATTTAATTCTGAGGAATTCCAATAAATTTTAAACGATTTTTGAAGATTTTGATTTGACTGATTTTTCTAATATTTTAACAATTCAAAGTCTACTTTTTTAAGATACTCGTAGAAAAAATATTGTTCCTAACACTTGCGCAAAGTGTCTTTCCCACACTCAAAGCTTATCCGAACTCCGCTTCGCGTCGTTCGTCTAACTGCTTTTTCGTGCGGAAAAGTATCACTTTGCGCACTTGTTAGGAAAATAACTATAAAAAGAGTGGTTTTGGCTATTTTTCTGAGACTTTGTTTCAAACTGCGGCCGTTGTTCCTACCAACTCTGTATGACCGCAAATAGTGTTCTACTAAAAAAATTTTTCCTTAGTTGAAAGAGCCATATTGACGAAGATTTTAACTTTAACGTAATGTCAAACTGACAACTAATGACAAGTAAGTGAAATACGATAAATGCAACTGACGTGCGTAATTGCTCAGAGCTCTAGATTTCGGTACTGTTTATTTTGGTGGATACCGTATATGTATATGAAAAACTGAGTGCAGAAAATTTTTGAAAATTTGACAGTATACTAGTGTCGATGGGGGCAACCCGGCTAAAATATTTCCAAGATGGTGGCTCCTCCGGTTAGACGGGAAGTAGACGTCAACATGCTTATTTTAAACGGAACACCCTGTATGTAATTGCATATTTGGATTCTATGTAAAATTCTGAGTAGATTTCATGTGACATACCCTATACCTAAGTTCAACTGTTTTGGAAATATTGACAGTTGAAAATTGACTTTTTGCAACTTTGACAAGCTGTAAAACTTAAACGGTTAATTTATAGTGCGTACGATTTGTCTGAACCGGTTAGCGTTAGTGCGGTGCAGTTATGTTTTGGAACGCAACCATCTAAACTACACATCTAAATGGAACGTTAAACGGTACGAATGGTGTGAAAAGTGCGACATTAATGACGGATCAGGGTAAAAAAGTGTCAGTAGTTGGACTTATCGTACTCACCTATAAGAGGAAAATCGATTTTACGTTCCTATCTTAGATTTTCATAAACTATCATTTGACGCCAACTTCGAATTTAACCAGAGATTAAATTTAATTGAAATTTTTAATCATGAATTGAATTCAAAAGTTGGTGTCAAATGATAGTTCTTAAAAATCTAAGACAGGAATGTAAAAACGGTTTTCCTCTAAAATTAACTGTTTAGGTTTTACAGCCTGTCAAAGTTGCAAAAAGTCAATTAATTGTCAACTGTCAATATTTCCAAAACAGTTGAACTTAGGTATAGGGTATATCACATGAAATCTGCTTAGAGTTTTAAGTAGAATCCAAATATGCAATCACATACAAGGTGTCTCATCTAAAATAAGCCAGTTGACGTCTATTTCCGGTATAACCGGAAGTGCCACCATCTTGAAAATATTTCAGCCTGGTTGCCCCCAAGAATCGTAAACACTACAGGATTGCTCAATCGGCTGAATTTGTTCACAAATGCTGTGACGTCACCTGAATTCCTGACTTTCAAGATGGCCGCCGATACGGATGATAGTTTATGCTGACAATTATTTTATCGTAAATTCGAAGTTTATTAAGTGTTATAAGTGTAATGTGTAATTTAAAGTTTCATTTAATGTGTGTAAGCATAAAAGACTCATGGCTAAAAATAATCACGGTGTCATTGGGAAACTTCAAACATTTTCTGGTTTTGTAATACTGGATTTGTTGCATCAGGACATAGCTTTCTTTTATTCATGTGTATTGCTTAGTTTTCTACTGTTATTTCCTAGTCAAGTATTTGTATTGTTTTTTTTTTGTTTGTTAATCAAATAACATACTTGGTTGTAAGTTTCCTTTGCATGTAATTACTAGAAAAATGTTTGTGAAGAGTAAATAAATAAATAAATTCCTTTATTTGCGCGTTTACTATGTAAACGCATGGAAAATATGGAAAACTTGCAGTGTTTTTCTGGATTAGGAATATAAAAAGCTAAGAGAGAGCTTACTTTGAATGTCCATATTAAATTGTTCTAGTACCTATTCAACTATTGAATAATAATTGAGAAGTAGGTAGAGACAGTAAAAAATTAAACACACTATTGCAACCATGTTGCACTAAAAAAAGGTAATTCTCAAGTTTGAAAATGCAAAGAAAATGCACTGTCCTAATAAAAAACAAACCAATCAAGGATTGCGTGACGTCAATCGCATTCCTCCATGTTCAATATTTTTATGAACATATTATGTCTTATGGGATTGACCAATCCTGTAGAGTTTACGATTCTTTGGTTGCCCCCATTGACATTAGTATACTGTCAAATTTTCAAAAATTCTCTGCACACATTTTCTCATATGCAGGGTGATTTACGTAGCCCGTGCATTAGAAGTTTATGATGATGTTGCAGGGAGATTTAGAAACTTGGTTTGTAGCCATAATCAATCGTTCCGCGGTGTTATCTAAAATATTTTCAGATTTTCAACTATACAGGGTGTACCAAATGTAAGCACTAACTTTCTTATTTCAAATAGGAACACTCATTTATTTTAACTTTCAACATAGTTTGGTTGGCCTTGTAATTTTGACTTTGGATCACCCCAGTTTTGTCTACTTATCTTTTATAGTCTTTGACATAAATGTAATTTTTTGTTATAAATTGATGCTGCAGTTATTCAGGAAAAACAAAGTTTCTCGAAAACCGTTCTGAAATAATAAACCAAATTTGCAAGATAAATAGCTGAAGGATCAGGCTAACTCCTGCTGTGTCATTAGTGACCCCGTTTCATACCATATGGGTGCAGACGACCTACAAACATCGGAATCAATAATGGTCATTATTGATAATAATAAGATATTCCTGGAGTCAATGTTGACTGTAATGAAAATTCTAAAATAACCAATAAGATGCATTGTTTGCATGTGGATTCGCATCCAATGTATACGGGCATGTTTAATATATTTTGCCTAATAATAGTACAATAATTTTAAGGTGCCATACAATAATTTAATTGATCTTTTTTATCACCTCAAGAGTGAGTTTGAAAAAGGGTTCAATTTTACCCAAGGGTGAGTGAGAGTGGAGTGGGTATAGGGTCACGTGGTCAGAAGAGTAAATTTTATCTGGTGTGTTTTCGAACGCACTGGTGTTTAATTATAACCTGACATATAAACATAATATTTAGGTCCAGTTGTCTGTGTATTTCATTTATCTGTTTGTACCTATTATCCACAACAACTTCCGAGGAACCGAAAATGGAATAAATAAATGTGACTTAATCTGGAAGTAATACACACATCAAAAAAAGTTTTGCACCATCCTGTATTTAAACCAAAGAATACTCATCGACAAATAAAAATATTGTTATCTTCAACTATGGAATGTGTCCAGTACCTTCACTAAAAATGGTTTAAGAATCTGAAATTGTTCACTATTTTTTTATTGATAATTTTTTGATTTAGATATCGCTGAATACATACAATGAGATGGTGCAAAACTTTTTTTGTTGTGTATAGATTTACCAACGATTTTAAGGGAGGTTCAACGATAATCAACGTTTAAAGTGACATTTTTACATGTAAAAGTGTTACTTCAAACTTTGATTATCGTTAAACCTCGCTTAAAATGGTCGGTGCAAACAGCCATTAAATAATCAAGAAATTGACAGAAATTAGTGAAATACATTTTGACATTCGACATTGACAAAAATTGTCTAACCTAAGTTTTTCAGAGGAGACTTTTTGTTGTTAAGCTAGACTCACATTGGGCAAATTTAAAAAATAAGTACCTATTGTCTGTACCATTTTTATGATTGACCAAGTGTAATTTGCAGATATATCAGAAACTGAATCGTTTTGGGAAAAAAATTAAAAAATGTTATAATTTTTTCACCCACAGAATAAAAAAAATATATGTAATCCAAAAATGTGCAAGTACCCCAAGGATAATACACACTCGAGTACACACTACTAAAGATTGCTTATCAACCTCGTTTTTATAATCGCGGCCATATTGCTGTATCACCATTGCCGACGTCATTAACTAAGGCCCGGTTGTACCAAATAGAGGTTCAGTTGAAATCTATTGGTACTTGATCTTTCCCATTTAAAATGCGTTGCTGTCAAAAAATTGCACTTTGACAGATTTTTGTCATCGATGCGTTTTAAATGGAAAAGATCAAGTACCAGTAGAGTTCAACTGATCCTCTGATCGGTACAACCGGGCCCAAGTCGTCAGCTGTTTGCGCCAGTGGTCCTATTTAAGAATTTAAATTAAAAATATCATTTAATTTTGATTAACATAATAGGAAGATGCAAATGAGATCTAAAAAGGAGTTGTTTTAGAATGTTAATTGATGTACTAAAACCAAGTATGCATAAAGCAAAAGCCCGCGGCTCGGCCCGCGGATTATAACCTGTGGTGCAAACTGCAAACAGCCTACATCAAGGCGAGAAACGACATGTTGCTTACGTCACAACTGGTTAATTCGCGTGGTGGGGAGCTTCAGTATTGTTCTACACCGGCCTTATAATATAATAGGCTCTTCTGTTCTGTAAGTAGTAGTGTGGTATTATCCTTGCGTAAATGTCATTTGTCATGTCATTACTGTCAACTGTCAATATTGTCATTACAATTTCGGTCGGATTATTGTTTATTGTTTTTATTTATGAATACGAGATTTATTATTATTGTTGTTTGGAACGTTTGGTCTTGACTTTTGGTTCATCTGACATTATATTTCATCAGAAATATTTTGAAACATGCAAAAAAGGGCTGTTATAAAAAAAAAATACTTCTAAATCCAAGCAGACTCATCAAAAAAATGTATTGAAAGTATCAATATTTTCTCATCCTAATATCGATATGAAAGAGGTTCTGAAAGAATATTGTATCGATTTATCGATATTCGATAGCTATGAATATCGATGAGCCCTCCTCTCCTCTAACGTATTCGATAGGCCTGTTTTGCAGAAATCACAAAAACTATTTCATTGGTTGAAACTCGAGTTGAAACTAGCTTTCTGACTGTTTTCAACCAATGAAATTCGCTCCGACTGGTTTGTGATTTCTGCAGCAACAGACCTAATAACAAATGTTAAAACTAAAACCAATTTTTTTTAATTTTTTGCAGTCGCATACATTTTATTATTTCAGCATGCTAAAATGTTAATAAGTTCAATAAAAATCCATTCAAAATACCTGGCAATTGATTTTCGTTCTTTGAGGTAACCTCCATATAAAGAGAAGCCCTTTTGTGACGCATTTTTTTATACTTTTGAATTCGAATAATTAATTATTGAACTTCTAAGTACTTAAATGTAAATTTTCTTCCGTTTGGTCGCGTAGTCCAAAAATGAATGTCGTATTTCAAGTTTCAAGACGCTGCACGGGGTTTACAGGTTTATAAATAAATTCATTAATGTTTTTTTATTGCTGTGTTTATAAATAGCAGTCGCCCGAACAAGATTTCTATCATTTAGGAAAATTTCCGAAACCGAAATCAAAACAAAACAATTCCTATAATCGACTTGTCACTTGTCATTTAGGTTAAACGAGATCGCACTCAGCAACCCTAAACCAAAAAGCCAATTTTTATAATTTTATTAAATATATTTTAAAACAATTTTTAAATTATCAATAATAAAACAAATTTGATTCTAGAAAAAAAATAACTTGTGCTGTTAATTAACTTTTAGTCTAATGTTTAACTACAAATTGTTTTAATTCCGAGCGATCCGTAAGCATTTTTCATAAGCACCTCGGCGTCGGAACAACCGGGCGTGGATTCAACTCGCGTCTATTTCAAAACGAACGCGTTCACTTCTACCTGCCCCCTTGATCAATACAATAATTTTTGCTAAATTTTCTTCGAATTTATTCTCTTACCGTTCATCCAGGCGTTAGTTTGGGACACGGACATATTTTCGATTCGTTTGCCTACTGGTTTCGTTGAAATTTTCGCGTACAAATTGGACATGGCCATATCTCGGAGGCCTTTGTTTTGTTTTTAGCGAACCATCACACTCGCGCGTCCGCCATGTTTTGTTTGTGTGTGTTCCGTTCCGTTATTCGTTCATTCTTGATATTTGACGGATGACACAGATATCGTTCCCATTTGCCCTAGAATCAGAGGCGCCCGAGAAATTTGCTCAGTGGCGTAGCGAAAAATTGATTCTTAATTAATAGGGTACTTGCATGGAAAATTAAATTGATTATTGTTTATTGCAAACTGTAGGAAATCGAAAAAAAATCGATGCTGTTTTTTATTTTGTCCAAATATGATTATTTCGAAAGTTATACAAATATTGAGTTTTATATACACTCATCAAAAAAGTCTAGGGAACAAGAAATATTCATCTTTTAATTTTGAGACAGAATAACTTTTTTTTAAAAGATACCATATGGGTATTTGTTGAACAAATCTTGTCAAATTTATCATATCGGCTTTTCCAGCAGGCTTTAATAAAATTTAAAAATCTTTTAAAAGTATATTTTGTTCAATTTATGAATGTATTCAGTTGCATCTTGTTCCCTAGACTATTTTGATGTGTGTAGTATATAGATATACTGAGCGTGTGCGACGTCACAACATATTATAAGCTATGACGTCAGAAGGAAATTTCAAAGCGTTATATCTCCGTCAATTTTTGACTAAATTTGGATTTATACAGCAAATAAAATAAAAAAAGATAAAATAAGAAATAAGAAATAACAGTTAACCACATGAGATATCCTTGAAGTGTTTATACAGAAAATAACAAATAAAATAAGAAATGCATTAGTTATGTATTTGTTATTTTATTTTATGTTATCTTATTCTATTTTATTTGCTGTATAAATCCAGCTTAAGAAAAAGAAAAAACACGTGGTGACTTATTTTTCATGGACTATCGAAATCAGCAATAAAAAATTTGATGCAAGGGGCCTATTCATAGGCGCAACTAGGGGGGTGCTTGGGGGTGCTAAGCATCCCTAAAGCAAAAATTAGCACCCCCATTCGGCATCCCACCATAGCATTACTTACAGTGGTACTACCTAATACTAATATAAAAAAATAGTGCAATCAAATTATTTATTTTTTTTTGCACTTTTTGTACTCATTTACGTCATCGATGACGTCATAATTTAGAAAAAAGTATTTGTCGTTGATTAATACCGGCCCCTAAAAAATCATTGGGAGTCCCAAATATATAAATTTATTAACTGCGTATTATACAGGGTGTTCCTAAATATAATGTACAAACGGCAAAGGGTGATTCTTTGTTTTTTTTTATGACTGAAATCTCAAATACTTATGTTCTAAAAAGTTGACTTATTTAAGCTAAATTAAAAAAAAATTCACCCTCATTTTAATTTTTTTCTGGAAAACTTACAAAGGGAAAATTTTGAAAATTTTCCAGGAATAAGAAGAAAATGAGGAGCTCATTTTACGAAAATTTCAAAATTTTCCAGTAAAAAATCACCCCAGGAAAAAATTTGAAAAACTAACTTTTTTAAGCAAAATTAAGGAGAATTCACCCTCTACATTTTAATTTTTTTCTAGAAATCTGGCAAAAGGAAAATTGTGAAATTTTTCTAAAAGAATGAGAAAAGTGAGGAGCTCATTCTGGGAAAATTTCAAAATTTGCCAGTAGAAAATCACTCCAGGAAAAATTCTTGGAAATTCACTTTTTTAGGCAAAATTTCTTACATTTTAATTTTTTTCTGGGAAACTGGCAAAAGGAAAATTGTGAAAATTTTCCAGAAAAAAGAGGAAAGTGAAGAGCTTATTATAGCAAAATTTTAAAATTTTCCAATGAAAAATCACTCCATAAAAAATTCTGAAAAATTGACTTATTTAAGCAAAATTAAGGAAAATTTACTTCTTACATTTTAATTTTTTTCTGGAAAACTGGCAAAGGGAAAACTTTGAAAATTTTCCGCGAAAAAGAGGAAAGTGAGGAGCTCATTATAGGGAAATTTCGAAATTTTCCAGTGAGAAATCACTCCAGGGAAAATTCTGGAAAATTGACTTTTTCAAGTAAAATTAAGGAAAATTCATCCTCTCACATTTCAATTTTTTTTTCTGGAAAACTGGCAAAAGAGGGAAAAGAGTAAAGTCGAGCTCATTATAAGAAAATTTCAAAATTTTCTAATGGAAAATTGCTCTAGGAAAAATTCTGAAAAAATGACTTTTTCAAGTAAAATTAAGAAAAATTCATCCTTTCACATTTAAATTTATTTCTGGAAAACTAATAAAGCAAAACTTGTGAAATTTTTCCAGGAGAAAGAAGAAACCTCGCTTAAAATGGTCGGTGCAAACAGCCATTAAATAATCAAGAAATTGACAGAAATTAGTGAAATACATTTTGACATTCGACATTGACAAAAATTGTCTAACCTAAGTTTTTCAGAGGAGCCTTTTGTTGTTAAGCCAGACTCACATTGGGCAAATTTAAAAAATAAGTACCTATTGTCTGTACCATTTTTATGATTGACCAAGTGTAATTTGCAGATATATCAGAAACTGAATCGTTTTGGGAAAAAAATTAAAAAATGTTATAATTTTTTCACCCACAGAATAAAAAAAATATATGTAATCCAAAAATGTGCAAGTACCCCAAGGATAATACACACTCGAGTACACACTACTAAAGATTGCTTATCAACCTCGTTTTTATAATCGCGGCCATATTGCTGTATCACCATTGCCGACGTCATTAACTAAGGCCCGGTTGTACCAAATAGAGGTTCAGTTGAAATCTATTGGTACTTGATCTTTCCCATTTAAAATGCGTTGCTGTCAAAAAATTGCACTTTGACAGATTTTTGTCATCGATGCGTTTTAAATGGAAAAGATCAAGTACCAGTAGAGTTCAACTGATCCTCTGATCGGTACAACCGGGCCCAAGTCGTCAGCTGTTTGCGCCAGTGGTCCTATTTAAGAATTTAAATTAAAAATATCATTTAATTTTGATTAACATAATAGGAAGATGCAAATGAGATCTAAAAAGGAGTTGTTTTAGAATGTTAATTGATGTACTAAAACCAAGTATGCATAAAGCAAAAGCCCGCGGCTCGGCCCGCGGATTATAACCTGTGGTGCAAACTGCAAACAGCCTACATCAAGGCGAGAAACGACATGTTGCTTACGTCACAACTGGTTAATTCGCGTGGTGGGGAGCTTCAGTATTGTTCTACACCGGCCTTATAATATAATAGGCTCTTCTGTTCTGTAAGTAGTAGTGTGGTATTATCCTTGCGTAAATGTCATTTGTCATGTCATTACTGTCAACTGTCAATATTGTCATTACAATTTCGGTCGGATTATTGTTTATTGTTTTTATTTATGAATACGAGATTTATTATTATTGTTGTTTGGAACGTTTGGTCTTGACTTTTGGTTCATCTGACATTATATTTCATCAGAAATATTTTGAAACATGCAAAAAAGGGCTGTTATAAAAAAAAAATACTTCTAAATCCAAGCAGACTCATCAAAAAAATGTATTGAAAGTATCAATATTTTCTCATCCTAATATCGATATGAAAGAGGTTCTGAAAGAATATTGTATCGATTTATCGATATTCGATAGCTATGAATATCGATGAGCCCTCCTCTCCTCTAACGTATTCGATAGGCCTGTTTTGCAGAAATCACAAAAACTATTTCATTGGTTGAAACTCGAGTTGAAACTAGCTTTCTGACTGTTTTCAACCAATGAAATTCGCTCCGACTGGTTTGTGATTTCTGCAGCAACAGACCTAATAACAAATGTTAAAACTAAAACCAATTTTTTTTAATTTTTTGCAGTCGCATACATTTTATTATTTCAGCATGCTAAAATGTTAATAAGTTCAATAAAAATCCATTCAAAATACCTGGCAATTGATTTTCGTTCTTTGAGGTAACCTCCATATAAAGAGAAGCCCTTTTGTGACGCATTTTTTTATACTTTTGAATTCGAATAATTAATTATTGAACTTCTAAGTACTTAAATGTAAATTTTCTTCCGTTTGGTCGCGTAGTCCAAAAATGAATGTCGTATTTCAAGTTTCAAGACGCTGCACGGGGTTTACAGGTTTATAAATAAATTCATTAATGTTTTTTTATTGCTGTGTTTATAAATAGCAGTCGCCCGAACAAGATTTCTATCATTTAGGAAAATTTCCGAAACCGAAATCAAAACAAAACAATTCCTATAATCGACTTGTCACTTGTCATTTAGGTTAAACGAGATCGCACTCAGCAACCCTAAACCAAAAAGCCAATTTTTATAATTTTATTAAATATATTTTAAAACAATTTTTAAATTATCAATAATAAAACAAATTTGATTCTAGAAAAAAAATAACTTGTGCTGTTAATTAACTTTTAGTCTAATGTTTAACTACAAATTGTTTTAATTCCGAGCGATCCGTAAGCATTTTTCATAAGCACCTCGGCGTCGGAACAACCGGGCGTGGATTCAACTCGCGTCTATTTCAAAACGAACGCGTTCACTTCTACCTGCCCCCTTGATCAATACAATAATTTTTGCTAAATTTTCTTCGAATTTATTCTCTTACCGTTCATCCAGGCGTTAGTTTGGGACACGGACATATTTTCGATTCGTTTGCCTACTGGTTTCGTTGAAATTTTCGCGTACAAATTGGACATGGCCATATCTCGGAGGCCTTTGTTTTGTTTTTAGCGAACCATCACACTCGCGCGTCCGCCATGTTTTGTTTGTGTGTGTTCCGTTCCGTTATTCGTTCATTCTTGATATTTGACGGATGACACAGATATCGTTCCCATTTGCCCTAGAATCAGAGGCGCCCGAGAAATTTGCTCAGTGGCGTAGCGAAAAATTGATTCTTAATTAATAGGGTACTTGCATGGAAAATTAAATTGATTATTGTTTATTGCAAACTGTAGGAAATCGAAAAAAAATCGATGCTGTTTTTTATTTTGTCCAAATATGATTATTTCGAAAGTTATACAAATATTGAGTTTTATATACACTCATCAAAAAAGTCTAGGGAACAAGAA